CAAATTTACTTTTTCGCGTTTCTGTTCATTCTTTAAACTCGTTTCCACTGTTCTCTCAGTGTCTTGATTTTCTGTTGTTGGTTTTCCCCTGCTTCTTTTCTCCAAAAAACCTTCCTGTATTTTTCCTTCTTTTTCAGTCTTCTTTTTGTCCTTCCTCTGCTCTTTTGATGTCCTGGTTCTCTCTGATTTCTCATCATTACTTATTTCCACCATCATGTCTGTGTCCTGCTTGTGCCTCCTGCCTTTTTCTTTCTTTGTGTCTTCAATTTTTTTCTCTGTTGGATCCTTGTCCTTCTTGTCCTCTTTACCACTTCTTGCTCTTTCAGGATTCTGTTCATCCCTTTTTCTGACAGTCATATCCTTGTCCTGCTCATCTTTGCTGCTCTTTTCTGTATCTTTCTCCTCTGGTTTGTTTTTTATTTTTTCCATTGCCACCTTCTCTGTGTCTTGGCTCATAACCTTTTCATCACTCTTTACTGTTTCCTCCTCAGTGGGCGTCGTGTCTCCTCCGATCATAGTCTTCACCAGTACTTTTGTTCGTTGTCCAGCTGTTGCTTTGACAATCTTCCCTATTATTCTCCTCTCTTCCTTCTTTTCTGTCTCTTTTGACTGCTTCTCCAGCTCCTGACCTTTCTTCTCTTCCTCACGGGCCTCACGACCTTCTTCCATACAACATCCTTGCTTAGCTTCATTCCCAGCTTTCTCTGTGTTCTTGCTTCTTTCACGTCCCATCTCCACTGTCTTCCTTATTTTTGCAGCCATGTCTTCAGTTTTTCTAAAAAAACAAAATAAAAACACAGTCAGTCAACCATCTTCCACTGCCTTAAGTGTAATTTTATGTTTTTTTTTCCTTACAACATTCTCTTCATTGCTTCCTTCTTCTTTACTCCCTGGCCATCCTTCAGAAGGCTTTGAAGGGACATCAGGACGCTATCCCTCTTGGCCGCTAGGTGGCGCCGTCGCTGCACATTATATTATAAAAATGGTTTTATCTAGTATTTTACTCATTGGAATCAAGCACTCATTCTGTTTTCAGATGTTTGTATAAAAACAACAAAAATGAAGGAGAGAGATAGTTCAGATAGTTTTACCTCTTCGTCCTGAGAACCTTCTCTCTTCTCTCTTCCCACTGGCCTCCATCTTTTATCATCCCCTCCTGTGCACCCTGTCTTTATCACTCTACTCGTGTCCTCCTTTTCTGTCCCCTCCACCTTTCCTTCCTTCATTTCCTCTCTCGTTTCCCTCCTTTGCTTCTTGCTGCTCCTCATTTTTGGCTTTTCTCCAGTTTTGTCGTCCTGCATCCTTTTTGTCACCTCTTTTCTTGCATCTCCTTCTCTATCCTTTGTCCCCGCCTCCTCCTCTCTCTTGCTGAACTCTTCTGTCTTTCCTCCCTGTTTAGTGTCCCGTGTTTCCTTCTCGGTGCCCCTGGACTTTGTGCTTCCTTTTCTTTCCTCCTTGTTCTTTTTAATTTCTTCATTTACATTTTCCTGTGTGTGTTCTGTTACCTGCTTCTCCTCCTTCCTCGTCTTGGCTCTCTTCTTTCCTTTACCTCCTACCTCCTCCTTGCTTCTCCTCACCTTCATTCTTCTTTCTGACTGTTCCCCTCCCTTCTCGTCCTCCTCTATTGACCTTTTCTTTAGCTCTTCTTCCTTTATCGCCCCTGCTTTTTCCTCTAACTCCTCACTCCGAAACTTCACCTCCTCTGTGTTCTCCCTGCTCTTCTCCTCTCTCCTTCTCATTTCTGTCACCCCCTTTGTTTCTTTTTCTGTGTTCCTCATCTTTGTCTTCTTCAGCACATGTCTTTTTTTCTGCATTTCTTCTTTCTTTTTTTCCTCCTTTTGTTTATTGTTTATTGTTTTCTCCTTTTTCCCCTCTTTCACTCTCATCCTTTTCCTCTCACCCTTTCTTCCTTTCCCTATCCTCTCCTTCTTCTCTTCCTCTCTTCTGTCCTTAGCCCCTTCCTCCTCCTCAGGTTCTCTCTCCCCTTCCTCTGTCCTATTCTTGTACTTCTTGCCATCTTCATCTCCATCCTGTTTCTTTCTTCGCTTCCCTTTTTGCCCCACTTTTTCAGTTGACTTTGTCTCGTTATCTTTTTCCCGCCTCCTCTTGAACCCTCGATTCTCCTCCCTCGTCTCCTCCTCTTTGTCTCTCTGTGCCTCCTCTGTCAAATGAATCAGATTCAGAACAGCAGTGTTATTCAGAAAAGCAGTGAAATCATCAATTACTGAAATTATGTTAGTAAAACATTTTTAATATTCTTACCTGACAGTGTTACAGATGGACTCACAGACGCCCTTTGCTGTTTGAAAGACCAAAGGATTAGTAAAGCTTTAATAAATTATCAACATTTAGTGAATGGACAGTGAATATCAAAAACAGCAGAATGCAGTTCTGATTTAAATAACAGTTTGAGTGACGCATAGAAATCATATCCATTCAAGGACCGTTTATGTTCCATGTATCAAACTGGAAGAAGAAGCCAAAATTACCATCTCAGAAGATGAGTAGCTAAACATCTGTAAAACTCAAATGAGCACTTCCAGTTTTGGTCATTGGAGGGAATTTTCGTGGAAGTTGATGGAGAGAGTGTGGAAAATGCTAAGGCAGATCATTTCCATGTTTTCCAAACAGCCCGTTTAAATGAACAGGCACTCATTACAACAGGATGTAATTAACTTTGTTTTTTATGTTTCCTTTTCTTGAAGGTGTTCTTCTCATCCCCTTATTGTACACCTATGAGAGAAGTTAAAACAAAAACCAACAAAATGCTGAGCCTTTGTCTGTCACAGTTGTTTCCTTCTTACCTGGGTTTTAGTGTCTCTGCTCCTGGTCAAGGTGGAACCTGTAGCTGTTCTATCTTCTTCAGTAGATACATTTTGTTTGTTATGGTTGAGTATTTCCTTCATGTCCAAGAACTCAATTGTCACAGAGGAGTCTTTAATAGCTCCTTCTGTTTGTTTCACCGCAGGTTTGGTTTCTTCTGTTGTCGTTTTTGATGTGCTGGCTGGCATCTAAAGGAAAAACAGAAAGGTGTTGGATGTTTAAGGTTGGGTGATGTCATCATTCAGTGTCAAAAAATAAAAAGATGAAATACTTACTTTCTGTCTTTTTTTCCCCACTGACTTCCTGTTCTCCCTTGTTGCTGGGACCTGTGCCCCCTTTTCTGGCATTAGGCTGGACTCAGCTTTTTTTCCTGGAGAAAATCGCAGTGATGACCGCGCTGGAGTCTGAGCAGCAGGATACTGAGCAGAAGGTCCACCGGCTTCTGCAGCTTCTGCGGCAGAGGTTGGTTCTCCAGGTTGAGATTCCTGAGCTAATGTCTGCTTGGTGGGTGTAGCTGTAGGACTCTGTTTTTCTAGTGTGCTTGTTAAAGAAGTTGGTTTTGCTCGGGTTGATTTAGCAGCTGAAGTTGGTTTTCCTGGGGTAGATTTAGCAGCAGAGTCTGGTTTTGATGGAGTAGTCTGTGAGGGTTTTTTTTGTAAAAGCTGCACAAGAAACAGAATGAAAACATAAATGCATTTATGTATGCAATTTATGTATACAATTGGTTGAATTAATTAAACTTAAAATGACTTCATGATGTTGTCTCTATCTAAATTCCTTTTTTAAGACAGAGGCTTCTGTTTCTACTGCCATAGAAAATCACAGACAATACACTTAAACATGAGAGGAAAACACTGACTTTGGATTTACTGCCGACGCCTGGAGTGTTCTGGATCTCCCACATTCCTTCCTCAAAGCCTTTCAGCCGAACACCATTGCCATATCTTAGCTTGTTGCCGAAAAAAGGGACAACATTGTCTGGAGGGATGTAACCGCTGAGAGAAGAGCAGCAGCTGTTAGTTTAGTTCATTATTATAACCACTGGATTAAATGGTTTTATGCAGTGATGACATACATCTGATGGGTGCCGAAGAAGAAGACAGGGACTTTCTTCTTGTATCCATCTTCTGACTTACAGATCTGTACAAAAACAGGCAATTACTACATATCTACAAGTGACTCTGGTGAAACCTTCATGTCATGTCAACTTACACCTCAACAGTAATAGTTTGTACTTTGTGTATATATGTACGTGTGTGTGTGTGAGTGTGTATTCACCCTGGCCGGCCAGTGAGGGAAGCCCTTCATCTTGGCAAACACCAAGTCTCCTGCTTTGACGTTGTTGCTGTTTTTTCCAGGCATCTTATAAAATTAAGAGTAATCCAAACCCCACAACCTGAATAATACTGTAAGCTGAAAACAGCCTTGAAGAAAAACAAGACAAACTTAAAGACGGAAGACTTAATGACTTAACTTGTATCTCTTTGTGCACAGTTTTCTGTAACAAGACACTTTTTTTAAATGTTGAAATACACCCAAAAATACATGTTTTTACACATCCACTACATATTGTATTAGTTTGTGTAAAAATATATATTAGATTTTTAAACTACATTCCTAGTTTGTAGTCATTTCTGAGCCAACATTTAGCTACTTTTTGAAAGTAGGTTTCTAGTCAAAACCTTGAGTAATACTACACAATCAAGCTTGGATGACCCAAAAAGGAATCTAAAACCCAGGGGGCCATACCATTGGTATATAAAAGTGTATATATATTTACCCATAGTTCAGAGAGCATATGGAAGAAGAAAGATAAACCTAATAGTCTCTAACTCTGAGTTGGTCTCACACTCTCTCACAGAGATGGTTTCTTCTTTGTTTGATTAAAGGGCAGTTACATTCGTAAGGCTGCATTATCTTCTCTGATCACATTTGCATGCATTCGTTCATTATCTTCTCTGATCACATTTGCATGTTTTTAAGATTTACTTGTGCAAAACGATACGTTTCGCAATTCAATTTTAATAGTAAGATAATAACAATGAAGACTTATTCTACTTTGATGAGACTAATTTACAATAGCAGACACTAAGTTTTTGTTAACTTGAAAATGTTTACGTTTCCTCACAGTACAGCAACTGCTTCTATGTTATGTATGAATAGAATACAAGGAAAGGCGATAGTACACCGTCATATCACCAGTTTCGTTTTATCGCAGCATGTTCTCACATTGTTTACAAATACAGCTTCGTTAGCACGCAGCGCTAACACAGCTAGCCGCTCTTTAGCAATTGAAAGGCAGCTTATGGGGCGGGTTTGCACCACTTTCTAAGATATTTGTTGACATAGTAATATGCAAAAACTTACCGATAACAAATACGGATTTTTCGGAGAGTTTCTACGTCCACTGTTCTTTTTTACAACAAGGAATATCTGGTAAACTGACATTACCAATGAGTCGCTGCCATATTGCTTCGTGTCACGTGACTCTGTTTGCGTTCCCGCTTCCTGCTGTTGAGAAGTCGACAGTATTACGTACCCATAACCAACGGCAGGGGTCAAGGCAACAATAAATGTTATTATAATTATTGTCGATATTACCACCAGTTTCACCCGATAGTGCGAATAATTAACTAAAATAATAATAATTAAGTAAAACTATTTTTCATTTTCAGACCCGATAGTGCGAATAATTAACAATTAAGTAAAACTATTTTTCATTTTCAATATTGCTAGATAATGTTGGCAGGAGAAAAAAGGTCACAAGTTAGACATGAGCCATGTTATTATGAAAGGCCATTATGTTACAGGACTAAATCATTTGACAAAAAAGCCATAACTTGTGTCGTAGAACTACAAGAATAAAGATCCCCCATGCACCTTTTTCCTTTTATTTCATGGAATTATTTTATGTAATTGTATTTGTTAGCCTTTGTAATGGTATATTTATTACTATACTTTATAGCATATTTTTAAAACAGTGACCTATTTAATTTCTGTTACACTAATACATCATTTATAAGGTTTTACCTGCAGTCAAATTAATGTATTAACCATAAAAGGTCTTGAAATGATTTTATATCGTAATAAAATAATAGAAAAAAACTATACCATATCAATCCCATCTTTGGGAAATTATTGCATTACCAGCAGATATGCTGTTAACAGTCTGTCCCAAGCATGTGGTTTCTCTGGGAACCAAAACCAGGACTCTCTGCTTCAGAGTCAGGCACACTAACCACCACACTATGGAACCAACAAACAAGTTTGATGCATTTTGGCTGCTAAGATAAATCAAAACATCCACAAACTGCAGCCCTGTCTTCAGGACTAAACCAGGAGTAACAGTTGTTCAATCAGGTTTTCAAGCAATTTTACTATAGATATTGTAAAAAAAATTAAAAAGAGAGAGAGAGAGCTATTGTAAAAAAAAAGAGAGAGAAAGAGAGAAAGAGAAAGGTGCACATATGGATTAAGTGTTTCTTTTATAAATATACCTTTTTGCACAATGAAAAAATCTATTTGACTCAATACAAATTGAGGAACATGTACATGACATTTCATGCCATTTACACAACTCACCATTGAGATACTGCCAACATCTCAATTATCTGATTTGCTGTGGCACTTACTAGTTAGCTGGTAACTATCAATTATGCAAGGACAACCAGCCACCACAGTTACAAGGACAACAACAAAATAGAAGGTTTGTGTATATTTCAGCTTGTCTAACAAATTGATACAAAGCTTGTAGGAACTACAAGGCCAGTTCCAACCTGTTTTGTCCATAATGCCATTCAATACAAACAATCAAACTAGGGAGTGAGAGTTTTAATACAAAGTAAAGTTTATCTAAGTGAAACTACGGGTTTAATCGCTGCCACTATCACTCTCACTATCCTCCTCCTCCTCTTCTTCTTCATCTTTCTTCTCACTCTCGTCCATGAGTCCTGAGAAAAAGTCATTGTCTCCATGAGCCTTCTTAGTCAGAGACTTCATGCGTCCGTCTTTCTTCTTCCTCTTGCGGTATTCGTTGACAGTCGTTTTAGGCAAAGCAGAAATATCCCAGAACTTGATGAGTTGGTCATGACCAGAGCTAACTAGGAAGCGAGAGTCCCAGGACTTGGCGATCTCTTCGATGGGTTCCCCAACATGCTGCCCGATGCAGCCGATAACCCTGTTTGGCAGGATGTTGATGGCTCTGGTGGGGAAATGGAAACATTTGGTTTAAATGGGACAAACAACAACACAACAACACTGTTTTAATAATTCAACTCACCGAATATACCCATCCATGGAGGCTGTGCACACGATGTTGTTTGTGACAGGAACCATGCAATCCAAGGACTCTGCCTTGACAGCAAATCTATCGCTTGTAGCTCCAAATCCATTCCAGTTGAAGATGTACATAGTCCCTTCGCTGGAACCACAAACCACCTTCTTTCCATACTTCATTAACACCACTGAAGTCAGATCACCACTCTGGGGCTCCGACAGAAGCTCAAACCGACGTCTCTTAATGTTGAAGACACCCATAGTCCCGTCACCACTGTTAATAAACACAGAGTTCAAAAACAAGTTTCAAATTAAATGTTCAATTTCAAAGTCAGTGACAAGCCACTGACCAGTCAACAGTGAGTTTGGTTGGGATACATTTCTTCGATGATGTTACCTGGCTGTTAAAAGAATCCTCTTAGCCTGGTCTACGGCGATGTCACTAATGTAATCATCATGATGTTTCAGGTCCATGATGGCCGTCCCTTTCCTCATGTCCCACACCTTTGGACACAAACAGAGACCAAAGCAGGTTGATAGTGAGAGAACATTCTCTGTTTTGGTTTTTTTTGCCCACTCATTTGAAGCCCTTACATCTGTCAAAATCTGATCTAAGTCCAGACCTTCATTGTTCCTCCGTCGTCTCCAGTTGCCAGGATGTTCTCGTCCACCAGCAGCAGGCTGTTGATTGGGGCAGAATGGGCCCCTCGGATCCTGGTGACCAGCTTTCCCTGCTCTACGTCCATCAGATGCACGGACTTGTCCCGGGACACAGTATACAGCTTCAGTCCGTCCTCTGCGAAGCGCACCTGACGACAGGACTTGAGGTGATGCCCTGAGGACCACAGTTCCCGGTTCTCACCCTCTGTACAAGAGTAGGAGAAGGCGTACACGTCCCCGTCTACATCCCCACACACCAGAAGATCTCGGCTCGGGTGCAGCGCCACCGTGTTGGCAATCGCCTCCAGCCGTATATCCTGCGGGGTGTCTCGGACCCGCGGCGCTAGAGATTCGCCTCCGTTCGCCTCTTCGTCGTCATCATTTTCTGGACCCGAAACCTGACCTGAGGACTCTGGAGCTGGTGATTCTGGGCCATCGGGCGTTTCTGATAGTTCTATTTTGTCCGTGTCTGTCGTCGTGGTCACAGATACAGCGTGTTCCACGGGCGCAGCCATGATGTTTTGCTTTTTTCTTCTTCTACACTAGAAATTTCGGCAGAGCCAGCGAAGCTGGTCGTTAGACGGAAGTGACGACATAGACGGCAAAGCTTGTGTCGTTTTCAAACCGCTCCGGATCAAATGTTGAGGTGAGGAAGTTTCTAAACTCTATGTGGTTCTGTTGTTTTGTTGTTTTTTTATTTCATTTCTTATAGTTCTTCCATTAATTGAAATGTGTATTTATTTAACTTCTCGTTCAAATCACGTTAAACAATGTTTGCGTGAAAGCGCATTTGGAAAAGAATGCACGATCCCTTTGGCAAAATATACCATTTAAAAATGAGGCGAGACAAACACCAGTACAAATGCGTTATTACCATAGATTCATGTTTTAATTGATACGACTTCTCTCTCGGAATAATTCGGCTAATGTGTGTCTTACAAAAACATCCAAATATGAATTAGCTCTGGGGGAAAGTTAGTCGATGTTTGTAATCCTGATATCTATGTCGTTCCACGTAATCCAGATTCAGTAGTAAATTTGATCAGGGTCGTCTATATTAATGCGTTATTAAATAAATCAGTTTCTTCACTGACTTGTAGCAGTTGTTTTAAATCGGCAAATCGGATTAACATGTAATAGAACGGACATGTTTTATATGTGACAGTTTTGATAATATGTAGACTGTTGTTTATACTCCCCAGATGAAACGATCAATGCTTTAACCAATACAAATTGTGAAGAAGCCTTTATCGATTTGTATGATGCCGATTTACGGAGGACTTTCGTATATGTATCGCTGAAAAAACATTTTTTAATTTATTTTATAAGACACCGTTTTGCTGGGCGTGTTTGTATACGAAGACAAGGCAACAGCAGCCAGGCAGCAGACACACCCCTTCCGTTTTAAACCAACATTATTTACCAGCATCTTACATAAAATTTACCAGGGACGTTTGCCCAAAGAAGCGAAGATGCAAACCGAGCCAGCGGAGACGAGGAGACTCTCTGGCCGGGGCCAACGAGGGGAAAGCCGGCTCACCAGAGCTGAGTCCCGGAGAAAAGACCCGGTGTCCGCGGTCACTGGTATGAGGTGAGGGATCAACATATAATATGTTATAGTACGACACAGTTTAATGGGATATAAATCAAGGTTGTTTCTTGACTGCATGAAGTGGTCTACCAGAGCTATTATAGAAAATCACAGACTTGATCAACGGCTGCCTTGATGATCCGCTCTGTTGAATTTGGTGTTGGACTTTTAAAAAATGTCCCCCTTATTTTCTGCCCCAGGTCGACCCAGACGCCCATAAGCCCAGAAAAGAAGAAGGGAGGACATAAAGGAGAGACAGGAGGTGCAGGTTGGAGTGAGGAGGTGGAATTGATGAGGTGGAGGGTGAATCAGCTGGAGAAGGATAAACTGGAGGTGACGTCCAGACACAACCAGGAGGTGAGGCACAGAGAACGGTTCTGTCCAACAGAAAGTTTAAAGCCACAACAGCACAAAGCGTTATGGGTGGTGTGTGTGTGTGTGTCAGGTGTGTGTGTTGGAGACGGAGCTGACTCGCCTGAGGTCATTGGTGGAGCGAGGTGAAGCTCAGAGGGCGGAGCTTCAGTATCAGCTAGCGGCAAGTCAGAGAGAGTCAACCCAGGTCACAGAGCTGAGGAGAGACAAGCAGTTGTTGACAGGTACTCACATCAAACACAAACTTACACAACATTTTTATTCTATCATTTAAATATAAAATACATCAGCTTGAGTTGAGCAGAAAGATACTGAAATATAACCAAGAGAGCAGACAAAGCTAAACAGTTGGCAAAAGAATGAAGGTTCACAAGAACCAAAGATAAGAAAAATTGTTCTGGAAAGTTCTTGAATTTACCCTTGGATCTGTGTGTGTTTGTTGTCAGAGAGAGTAACACAGCTGCAGCAGACTGTACAGGAGCTGCAGAAGGTTCTGGAAATCATGCATCGGTCTCGGGAAGAGGACCAGCATGCTTTGCAGCAGGAAGTGGAGAAACGAGACAAACTGATCCAGAGCCTCAGCTCTGAAAACAGACAACGACAGAGGATTCTGCAGGTTAACACACACACACACACACACTTGGAAAAAACACACACACTTGCACACATACAAATAAAGCTGTGAGGGTGTGACTTCTGTGGTTAGGAGCAGGAGGAGGCTCTGCAGGAGCTACACCGGAGGATGGAGGAGTTGCAGAGACAACAGGAGGAGAAGCTGAAAAAGCTGAGGGAGAGCCACGACACCAGCAGGAGGGAAAAGGAGGTGAGAGGGAGGAGAATGCAGCAGGTCCAGTGAGGAGGTTATTAACATCTGTACTGTAACCTTCTGTTCTCTGTGCCACCAGCAGGAGGCAGAGCAACGGCTCAGGGCTCTCGAGTCCAGTCTGGAGGCGGAGCGAGGAGCTCACCTGGAGACAAAGGTCGGGGGTGAACTTCTTTAGGTCACACAGAGATAATCTGTAACATCTGAACGTTATCAAAGCTGGGGTTTGCTAGCTGTTAGTACTTAATTAGCCAAAATAAAGCTAAATTTTCTCCTGAAATGTTAACTAGTTTTGGGTCATTTTTGTTTTTGACAAATAGTTTGGCTGCTTTCTGGCTGTTTGATTTAGTCCTTTTCTTGGCTTTTCTCACCTGTTCTGATTCTACTTTTGTTAATTTTGTTTTGTTTTGCAGTGAACTATAACTAATCTTTGTGTCTATCATTTTGGTTGTAGTTATGTGTGATAAAACCAAACTAATTTTGTGTTCCATTAGCTGCGAGTGAGAGACCTTGAGGCTGCACTGGTGTTGGAGTGCTCCGGTCAGCAGGAGGCGCAATGCAGCCTGGAGCTGCTGAGGGTGCAGTTCAGGGAGGTGGAGAGAGCCTACAACCTGGAGAGAGAGAGGAGCAGCAGCTGTGAGGGCGCTCTAGAGCAGTGAGCAAACACAACAACCTTGACTGACCTGAGCTGAAATGACAGATTTGTATGTCCTGGAACTTTCTTAATTCATCTGATGGTGTGTGTAGGCTGCAGACGGAGTACGAACAGTATAAATCTCACCTCAGCGCAGCTTCAGAAGCAGAGAAGAGGAGAAACTCTGAGCTTTCAGAGAAACTGGAGGAGGAAGTGAAAAGACACGAAGACACGCGGTTATTACTAGAGCAGGTAACACATACACAAATACACACAAATACACACATCTGCACACACACACATTATTTTTGGCTAGCTTTTAGTTACTTAAAGACTAACCTTTAGTTATGTGTTGTGTTGAGCTATTTTTGAAGACCTACTTTGGGTTTTCTCATCTTAAATATGATTTAACACGACATGGTTGAATGGTGAGCTACGCTAACGGCTATCCATTGGATATTATTTGCTCTTTTTGCTGTATTTCTGAAGATGTTCTTTTACACTCTCAAGTTCCTTTGTTCGTTCTGTCAAATAACTAAATCTCATTATTTTTGTTGCATATTTAGGCTGCGAAGATCAGACGTGATACTGAAGATCTTTACGCCACCTTCGTCCAGCAGATCGTAGAAGCACTCAGACATCACAGACTCTCAGGTAAGTGTGTAAACACACACACACACACACACACACAGGTGCAGCTTCACTTCACCTCTCACAACATATCTACAGGCTGTAGTCCTGCTGCAGTGCATGATGGGAAGCCCAGTCCTCCGTCTGAAGCTCTGCGGGCGCTGAAGACAACGCTGGCTGCATCTGAGCAGCGTCTGGAGGAAACAGAGGAGCAGGTCAACATCCTGTTTGTGTTCCAGACCTCACATTAGAGCAGAGAGACACAGTTCACAGCTGGATGTAAACTGAAGTTTAGAAACGATTTCTTCTCCAACACCAAAGTCAGAGTTAGTGATGTTAGCCCACAGGTACACAGCAGTTGCTGATCTAAGGCTGTCTCAACCTACGGTTTAAATGTTTTATTTTCAACTTCTGCTCTAAGACTCTTTTGTTCAGATTTATCTTAGTGGCACGACAGGGCCACCAGGGGCAGCAGTGGACCTGCAGCTGCTGTATCCCTGTGAGATAAAATTGGTCATTTTTTAAATTGACATTAGTGAAAAAGAGTGAGTGGGTTAAAAACCACTAGTGTTTTTATCATTTATGGCATGCTGACTTTTAAATCTCTGGTAGATCCAGGATCAGGTGTTGCTGTCAGAGAGGCTGCAGCAGGAGAACCAGACGCTGCAGCAGCTGACTTCAGATCAGTCCGCACACATACAGGTAAAGATTCACCTGTTCCAGGTCAGTAAGGACCAGGAAGCCAGAACCTGTTGGAATGGATAACGGGACGTGTGCTGTCGTCCTCAGAAATCTCAGGAGGCTCTGGTGCAACTTGAGGAAGAAGTGAAACGTCTGCGACAGGAGAGCTCTGATTGGTCGACACAGAGTCACCGTCTGGAGGAGGAACTGCAAAGAGAGAGGGAGGAGAGAGCAAGAGAGGTTAAGAAGACAAGACAGGACTTTGAGGAAGAGTCAAAGGTGATGTCTCTGTTAAATTGTTCAATATTTAGTCTTTCTTTTTCTGCTGTCCCCACTGGTATCCAGTATATTCTGTGTTCCTCTGAGGTTTAAAACTGGTTTTTAAAACTTCAAAATAAAAGTCTTGGATGCCTGTTCAAAACAAAAGCCTCAGCTATGTGTTCATAGCTAAGCAGTGGGTCTGAGGCCTGATTATGTCCCCTCTCTGTGATATCTCCTGTGATATCTCCCTTCCCCAGGTCCGACTCTCTTTCCTCTACTGTCTGTACCAGCGCCTCCTAGCTGGCTGCGTCCTCATAGGTCCGCCACACAGTATCCTTGGTAACTTCACCTGGAAGGAGCTGTGTGATGTCATCAGTGAACACGTGGACCAGCAGACAGCCGACCTGCAGAAGGCTAAGGAGGAGGTGAGGTCTAGTCAGAACAGGGTACTGTTGGTGCTAAACAGAGTTGTTAGCAGCGGCTACATTAGCCACGATACACCGTGTACAGGATGTATGTAGATAGCTAGATAGATAAATACATACATATATAATGTATACTCCCTTGAAAGTATTATTAGCATGCTTGCTGCTTCTTAATTTGCTAATTAGCATTTAGCATTAGTCTTGATTATTGAAATATTCAGTAAGTATTTGTGTGTGAGTGATGTCATCTTGGAAGAAAAACACTCAAAAGTGAAAATTCTGCTACACATTTATAATCTAAAGTTTTTTTTTATCTCTTCCTCCTTTTTGTAGATTTCAAATCTTCAGGCTGTGAATGATAAAAAGAGCGCATGCATGCGTGAGCTGCAGTGCCACCAGCAGCGAGCGTTCTCCCATCTGGAGGAGAGCGTGAGGAGGAGAGAAGACGCCTGGAGCCAGAAGCTGCAGGTAAGAACATCTCGTCTCCGTCGTCTCTTGTCCTCCAGAGACAGAGGTGATCAGAGCTGAGTTAGCACAACTGTCAGTTGTCTCAACCCTGGTCCCATGATAGCAGACAACAAACTCATCACTTTACTGTCCCCTACAGACCAAAACTTAGCTTCACAGCAGCAGCAGTTCAGACAGACACAGAAAACAGTCTGATTTTAGCAAGTGTTGGATTCACCAGGGACGATCTCCTCCACAGGAGTTCGTTTGAAAGTCACCATCGACTGCTACTATCTACTACCACAAGTCTAACGTCCGTGATACTAGGTTTAGCTGTTGCTGCATTAGCTAGAAGAACGAGTTAGCTAATCCTGGTCTAGTGTCCATAATGTTAGTTAACAAGTTTCAGTCCAGGAGGTTAAATGGTTTGAAAGGAGCATCAACTGTTGGCTCAGTGCTTTTCACATGACATTAATATTAATACTTCCAATTTTCCATCTTTGTGTTGTAGGTTTCTCGCTCTCAATGTGAATCCCTGCGCCACCACATCTCCACCCTGGAACGCCGTCTACGGGTCTATGTCTCCAAGAGCCGCGGTAATTCCTCCTCTCTCCTAATAGCCTGCACCCTGCTGGCCGGGGCATTGAAACACACCCACCAGCGGTTTGTAACGCTCCGAGAACACAAAAGACTATTGTGCCGGCATTTAGCAGAGAGGGAGGCGCTGGAGGAGGAGGTAAGACAACTGGCTGATGCACTGGAAGGAGAAGGAGACAAGAAGGAGGAGGAGAAGACAAGAGGAAGGGGTTTGATCAGAAGGTGGAGGATAAGTGTTTGTGCTGTGCTGGCTGTAAGGAGGTGGTGTGTGTTAACTCAGAAGACAACGGTGAAGTTTCACCTGGAGAGAGGAGGCGCCGGTTTGGCTGTTTGTACAATCGGTGAGTTCACATGGGCAACAGGGAAGGGTTCAAAGAAATCACATAAAGGTACAGACTTAAGAAGCGACTGAAGGAAACATGAGAACTGCAGGTGTAAAATATCTAAATATATATATATATATATATATATAGGTCAAAATAAACTGAAGGCTAAAAACAGGAGCAGAAAAAACTAAATGCCAGTCAAAAACCAGCTCAGTGAGCCAAGAACTTAGTAAAAGATACTACTAGAATATCCAACCATTGGCCATAATATTAGATCATGTAGCACAGAATCAAACAACAAAATTACAAAATATAAAAGCAGTTAAAATAATGCAAATAAGATACCAGTTCAAACTCAACCATCTTTGGTTACAAACAGCGTTTCTGTGTTTTGTTTTTTTCAAAGAAAAACATAGTGAAGCAGATCGTGATGACGCTCGTTGGCTTCGCTCTAAACAGCTCTTCACAACAATAAAATATTGCATGACTGATCTGCAGAGGGCGCTAGCACACACTGGTAACTACACTATGTTTCAACAGCACGGCATCGGCTACAGATTCACAAAAGCAGTTGATAGTATTGACATTGTTCTGTTTGTACCAGACTCCACCTCTCGAGAGCTCAGCGCTGCGGCTAGTTCTTCTTTATCCCGCCTCATGGATCGCATCCTAGACCAATCAGAAACAGCCTGTGAAGATAACGAGGACACACTGATCAAACGTCTGGAACATGGCCTCGACAAACTCACTCCTCCTGAGTCCAACACAAAGGTTCTAATGATAAAGAGTTGGCTGTGAATAATTCACGATGATGATGGTGGAGTAACACAGGGTTCTGTACTGGACACCTGCTGATGTTGGCGTTTCAACTTCAGGTCTTGGTGTCGACCCTCCAACATCACTTCCTCCGTTTCAGCCAACGGCTGCACTCAGCTGAGTTAGAGAGGCGGAGCCTGAGGGTGGAGGCAGCCAATCAGAAAAGAGGATTGGTACAGGCGAAAGATCCCACTGGGGAGATGGTAAGTACTGAACTGTTGAAATGTGGCCCTAACATCGTGAACAGAATACTAGTGCAAAATACCTCAAATTAGCCCCAAAGTTTAGAAACAGCTCACTACAAAAATAAGATTCAGTCCAAAAAAGTCTTTGTTCATTCTGTAGGTTTCTCTGGAGCATTTCCACCGTGTTTGCTCAGAGCTGCATCAGGCTCTGAACAGAGAACAAGAAACTCAGACACTGATCCAGGAACAGACATCGCGTCTTCAGGTGCTGCAGCAGCAGCAGCAGCAGCTAGGTGGCGCCCTCACCTCAAAGCAGCAGCAGCTAGCAATGAGCCACGTCACACAGGTAAAACAAAAGGAAAAACAGCCCCCACCGTCCCTGTTTCTGTTCTCATACTTCCTCTGCCTCCAGGCTCTGTCAGAGGNNNAGTCAGAGACTCACCAGCAAGTGACCCGTACAGAGCGCTCGCTAAGAATTCTGGGTAAACACCTACTGTCTGTTCAGAGGGAGAAAAAACAGCTGGAGAAGAGACTGCAGCGAGCTGAGGAGGCCCTAAACAACCAAGCCAGGTGATGACAGAGAGAGCATTAGTTAGCCAAAACGCTAACAAACGAGCTAAACGCTAGTCCAACAGTGAGAACTAGTTACTGTGCTAATGGATTTAGGGAAAGGTGTGTACGATTCTCCCATTGACGAGTCAACGATGTTTGTTGTAGGTGCCAACATCAACCTGCCTGTCTCTTGGGGAAGGAGGCGGAGTCTAAACCAGCCGTTACTTTAATGACATGCCCCGCCCTCACAAGCCACGCCCCCTGCGTATTAAGCACCAAAACTCAAGGGAAGAGAACAGCAAAGATGAAGAAAAAGAAATTGAAAACAAGAATAATGAGAGAAGATGGAAATGATTAAATACATGAGTGTGTGCTGACAATCATTATCAATCTTTATCCTTATGAAAAAATGTGTGTGTGTGTGTGTGTGTGCCACAAATTCTTTAAAAGTGATCAAAGTTAGAAACAATAAACACATTTTTGTTGCATCAGCTTCTCTCTCTTTCTCTCTCTCTCTCTCTGTGTGTGTGTGTGTGTGTTACAGCCTGGAGCTTTTTGACTTTATTTCTCACACGCGTTGCCTGAAGCTGAGCGGGATTTGAATGCTGATTCGGCAGAATCATTTTTACGTTCTCTCTCTTATGTTCTTTAACTAAAATTAACTACCACAATGCCCCCTGGTGGCCCAATGGGATATAGTGCAATCTAAAGTCAGTTTCTAATTTATTGCCTATTTTAATTGTCTTTTTCTAATTATACTTTTCTTGTTTAGAAAAACAAACAATAAAATTATTTTACACGAAATCCCGAAAATTCCATATTTATACTTTTCCCCTAAATGTTAAATACAAAGGTAAATACAGTATATACATAAAAATATAACTATAAATATTTAATGTTTAACTGATATATAGATTTTATATGTACAGTATATTTGATAGAGTAAAGGAAGTAGAAAATGATGTTTTAAATGATGTTTGGTTAAGTTGAATAAGTTGTGTACCCTTAGAGCTTCTGTATTATATTTTTGATAAATGTACACATTTACAGTTTGTTGAGATAAAAGCTTTAGCTAACAAACATTTAGTCATTTTTGAACATTACAAATAACATGTGTGCCGACAGGCCTGGATGGAGTATTCTCACTGGTCCTGGTGACCAAATCCAGTGGTGTTTTAGCAGAAGATCTGTTGACGTTAAATGTTTTCATATGGAAACAAACTTTAGTTTTGTGTAAACACTGAATCTGGAACAACCAAAGCGTAACATTATAAACACATGAGAAATTAAAGTTGAAATTAAACACACGTCAGTGGTGTTCCTTTCTTATGTCTATTTATCTGTAGCCTTTTTAATGTTAATCTTTTGTTCACAGACCAACAACTAAACCACAAAATGTATGTGCTCTAATATAGCCCATACACTGCTAATACTGCAAATCCTGCCAATATATAGGCACTATATACTCTAGTACACATTTGATATTTCGCGGGCCAAATATAATTATACTGCGGGCCAGATTTGGCCCCCGGGCCTGAGTTTGACCTTACATGAAAGTATTATGTCAAGTAAGGTAGGACAGGGAGCATCTCTGAACCCAACAAAAAAAGCAAATATATATAAATATATATATACATATATATATATATCAGACATCAAGTACGACAGTAGCGTTTCAAATATGTTAGCACATATATGCTCAGTCAGGTATGAAGCCTCTACTACGGTGGCCCTAAGGGACAAAACACACATTTTTTTCCCCAAAACATTTTGATATCTGTAGATATGAACTCCGCCACCTGGTGGTTCAAGCTGTCCAATGACTGCGAATGAATCAGAAGAAAAACATAATAAATAGATGAGACATGTCCTCATCCTGTCTTCTGTCCTTATGAATATTTACCGATGGTTTCAGATCAGAAACTTTACGTTTTATCTCTAAGTTTCACCTGTGACACACACACACACACACACGTCTCTGCAGGGACGCGGTGATGCCAAGTTGGATGCTCAACAAAGACTCTCTGACTCGCTGCAGTGACACAGATACGAAGTAGGAGGGAGCTCTCTCATACAGGAGCGTGCACATTCTGAGGGGCGGAGTCAAGTAGAGCGCACATACACACAGACACACACACACAGACACACAGACACACACACACAGACACACACACACACAGACACAGACACACAGACACACAGACACACAGAGAGATTTTTGTGTCATGTAAAATTCACTTGCTGCTCCTTAGAAGCTAAAGGACGTTTGTGGCGACAAATGACAGAAAAAGAGACGAGGGAGAGACGTTGTTAAAGGACACACACTCACACACTGCTACTCCTTATAAACCCAGACCCACAAGAATCGTGATCTTTGTTCCCCTCGTTTTGTGTTGCTTGGCCTAGTTTTTAATTGTACAGCAACTTTGTGTCTTTATCTCGTGGCCCATACACAGTGACCCAACAGGCTGGATCTGGACCGCGGGCCTTGAATTTGAAAAGGGGAGTAGGGAGTTCCAAGTCCTCCATCTTTCTACGATCATAAGTGTGAGAGACACGACGATTTATTGTTAAAGAAAATAAAACTGTTCAGTAGAAGAAAAAACCACAGAAACACTTTTTTATCTTAAATGATAAGAAACTTGTTCAGTTTTCCTTCCAGTGACTGAATTCCTCCTCTTACACAGACCATTGTTCCAGAACGTTCTTTTGTCCAGCTCCCCCTAGTGTCTACTCTAAGACTCTCACATGTAAAAAATAGAAAACATATATAGATTAACTTTGAGATGAAGCGACCTGAAAAGTTTCAAATATTGTTGGTCTGACACACACACACACACACACACACTCACAGAGTGAAGGTATGGTTGTTGGACAGGCTGTGTGTGTGTGTGTGTGTGTGTGTGTGTGTGTGTGTGTCTGCTGGGAACTGATGGACTCTTTCTTTCCGTTTTGATGTCGTTTTAATGAGAATATCAGACAATAATAATAATGTGATACTGGAACGTTTGCGTGTGTGTGTGTGTGTGTGTGTGTTTGTCTCTTTGTGTGTGAAATTATCACCGTCGCTTACTGACACACTTACGCAACCAAACCTCTCAAGAGGACACGTTCAGTACCACCTCCTGTCCTCCTGTGTGTGTGTGTGTGTGTGTGTGAGAGAGAGATCCGGGTCACCTCATATCAGAACAACAGTGATCAACAATTACAAACATCTTACTTTTCTATACAAAACAAAAAAACAAAAAAAGACAAACAAAAAAACAACATTTTTTGGACCAGTAGAAGCTTCTATTACTTATTTTCACAAACCGACCACAGGAGGCAGCAGTGGACCAGTAGCGCCTGTGACCCTCTGAACTGAATGAATACTTGTTCTCTGTGGACGTTGGAGGGAGCGTGTGGAAGAGAATGTTGAAAATGTCTTACAGTGAGGACTGAGGTGTCAACACATCGTTTAAAACATTATTGCGAAGTTATCGTGACTAGTGGCTGAAATGTGTCTTTCTCTCCTGTCCCTGCTGGAGGCTCTGGTTCTGTTGTGTTCACAACTCAGAAACAAACTGTGGAAATTAGTTTAACCTTGTCTGAGGGTGTGTGTCTGTGGTTACCCACTGTCGCCTTGATTCAATCTGATCCTCAGGGAGGAACCATCCTCACAGAGGGGAACCCTTCCTCAGGGCAGGGACAAAGAGACGGAGCAACAAAAAGACCAAGGACATAAACATGAAGTCCTGAAAACTTTGGCAAAACAAAATTAGTAAAAAACAAACAAAAAAAAACTCAAACAGCCATTGGTCACGTCTACTGCTAAAGTGAATCTTAAGTAAATATATTGAAAGTTTGTATACAAAGGGAAGCTATTTTAAATCCTACTGTCAAATGTTTGTGAGGACATTTCTCAACTATGATGAACACGATGTTCCTAAGGTAGATATATAGAATTTTCTTTTAAGATATCCAACTATATATTGTTATTTTCTAAAAAACTGCCAAGAGTTTCATTAAACTCCAAGACAAATATGTTAAATAAGGTGTGGAGGAAAAAGCATTTGAAGATAAAATAGTCAAATATCATCGAAATATTCCTAAAAGTAAAAAAAAAGAAGCCCAGAAACAGGTAAATGTTAGCCAAACTCCCCTCAAAAACTACAAATGTAAAAAGTAAGTGATGAATTAAGAAGATAAGACTGATCTGAGAAGTTTTTATCAAAAATATGTTCACCACTTTTCTGTCAGGGTGGAGACAAAAGAAGACAAGAAAGAAAAAAAAGGTGAAGAAGATGATGGAGAAGATGAAGACGAAGACTCTGTTCTCCACCAATCAGAGAGCTCCTGTCAGCAGGAGGAGGAGGAGGAGAAGGAGGCTTTAAAAGACAAAATAAAACTGTACCTACTGTATACACACACACACACACACACAGGCGCGCGCGTGTGTGGGATTCACTGAGCGGAGACTCACCCCTGATCCTGGGAAGAACATTTAGAAAAAGTCTAAAAATATTTAACAAAGTGAAATAAAAGATGAAGATTGAACCTTTAATTGGATTCATCAACACACAGGTGAGGTCAAGCTTTTCATATTTCAATTTATGATTAAATCATGTTTTTTAATTATTGTTGCATTTTACTTTTAAATATTTTACATATCATTTAGATCAAATATTACTTATAATATTTTACATATCATTTAGATCAAATGTTTGTGTGAATTTTGAGCTTCAATAAGTAAGAAAATGACAAAGAGTATCGTCTCCAAACATATTTAAATTGAATTAACAAACACCTCGATTTCACCTTGTTTTTTAACACGTGAAATACAGAGCCGTTCACAAATGTAGACAAAACGTATTGTTTATTATTATTTTTAAAATGAAAGAGAAATGACAAAATTATTATACTTTAAAAAATAATTATTATCATAATATTGTTTCCCCATAAAATAATTGTTGTTTTCTATTGTAACCGCAGGAGTGAAACATGAGAGAGACGACAGACGTGGACGAGGTAACGAGTGTGTGTGTGTGTGTGTGTTGCTTCCACAAATAATAAAATATTTTTTATAACTTTATTGACCTTGTGTTAATATAATATAATATAATATAATATAATATAAAGTGTGTGTGTGTTTTTTTTTTTTTTACAGTCTATCAAATGCACTGAGTCCGGCTGCTGCTGTCTGGGCTTCAAACCTGGAAAAGTTAAATTCAGGTCATGTGATGGATGTGGACACGGCTGGGTGATGCACGGTAACAAACACACACACACACACACACAGTAAAACATGATTCAAGTGTGTCCAGATGATAATGTGCTCCCACATGTCACACACTGGGTTTGGGTCTAACATGTTACATTGTTCAAGTTTCATTCAACGACTCTCAGTTATTGGGACTCCACATTCATACGGTGTGGAGTCGATCTGACGACTGGTGCTGCTCACACCCAGAGAGATGTTGACAAAATGTACAAAACAACCTGTTTCTAACACACACACACACACACACACATTCATACACAAAGTGCAGATGTGTTCAGTCACAACGGTGACACAAAATGAGGTGACGCTGTCATCACATCACCGCTAACATCTGGGCAGGACATCTGCACACAACACACACACACGCACACACACACACACTTACCTTTGATCAGTTCCTCTCACTGTTTCTCCTGTAGCTCTGCAGAAGCTCCAGGCCCAGACGTCCTCCAGGTGCAGCCCAGTGGAGGTGGTTCTTCCTGGACCGGTGCTGGACCTCAGCTCTCTGGTGCTGTATGGAGCTCAGGCTGTGCCTGTCCATCTGAAGATCCTTCTGGACCGACTCTACAGCGTCCTGAGCGCCCAGCAGGTAGAAGCCGGCAGTGTCCCTGCCTCTGCAGATCAATGCACAGTGTGGCTTTAATATGGGAGGGATCCAGTGTGACCTGCTCTGTTTTCAGGTTGGACACATCCTCAACACACTGGGCTGGAGTCTGGGAGATTATGTCAGAGGTTACATGCTGCAGGTACTAAAAAGAAAAAAGCATCAAAAAAGCTATGTAATCAAAACACAAACATCAAAATAAAAACAACAGCTATTACAAAATGTTAATTTTGATGATATTTGTTGAAATATGTATTCAAATAACAAAGATGCTATGCTAATGTTAGCCAGAACAAACTGCTAATATGAAGTACAACACTGGGCTAACTACTTAAGACATGCTAATGTGAGTTAGCATGATCAAAAGCATGTTGTTAAATTTGACTAAAAGTTATTGACAATTATGTTATGGCAAAAAATAAACAATTCTTAGGTTTGTATGAACCACAGTGTACATAGTTAGATTACCCAGCATTCACTGGGGTTATCAACCCTTGTTCTCTTCAGTCTCCAGTGGGGAAGGTGTTGGACTGTTGGACGATGGTAACCCCAGAAGAAGAGCTTCTCATCATTAAACAGTTTCTGCGTTTTGGTGAAACCCGATCCATCGTTGACCTAATGACGCATCACTTCCTGTCTGCCGTCAACCAGAAAACCTGCTGCCTAAATACTTCTCTCAACATAAGGAGTCCTGGAACGTTCCAAAACTCTAGAGAACATTTTGGGACGGATGTCTGTCATCTAGAGAGTAAAACTGTCCTGGACTGCAACAAGACTGTCGGCCATTTTGAAAACTTCCCAGGTGGACTGTCTTTGCTTCTGCCGTTCCACTTCTCAGCGTCGCCCTTCGGACATTTGGTTCCATCCAACAAGGTAGAGATGTTTTTAGAGCTTCTAAACACCAGTGATTTAATCCCAGAGTTTTGTGTTTTTGACCTCCTTCTTGGTATTCCTCCAGGTCCCACCATTAACGCTGTCTCTGCAGCTACAGGAGCCTGATGGGACACGGCTTTCTCAGGGACTGCAGCAGAGCAGGGACAGATCCAACGGTGAGCCCAGTCCGACACTGCTGCAGTCCAAAAGTGAACCTGTCATAAAAATCGAAGCGGACTTTGACAAGCCAAACGCTCGTTTCCTGGTTCCTCAGAACCTTCACGGCAGTGAACACCTGGTTCCTCACATGGGTGTGGCCAAACAGAGGTCCACCTCCTCATCTTCTTCATTCAGCCCCACATCTTTCTCTGCACCCCATCTGTCAGCCTTTTCTTCCTCAGTGTCTCCCGTGAAGAACTTCCAGACGTTGCCCCCGTGCCTGTCTTCGTGCACCCTCCAACCCCTTCCACCCTCATGCTCCCTTCCGTCTTCTTCTACAGGAGGTCGGAAAGGGAGAGTCTGCTGTGGTGTTTGTGGAAAAAGCTTCTATGACAAAGGTAGAGAGGAGCTGCGCAAACACACTGCAAACATCCTGCTTTGTTTTTTATTTCTGTGCTAACTTAAGTAACACTGCCTCCTCCTGTTGGACCAGGCACATTGAAGATCCACTACAACGCCGTCCACCTGAAGATCAAACACCGCTGCACCGTGGCTGGCTGCACCATGGTCTTCAGCTCGCTGCGAAGTCGGAACCGACACAGTGCCAACCCGAACCCACGGCTACACGGTTCTGGTTCCAAAATAGATGCGGGTACCCATAAAAACCTAGAATGTGTTCCACCAACACCTGGAGCAACCCCTCCTCCTACTCCTCATAACAAGCACTTGACCTGGAACAACTCCTTCAACCTGCAGCTGCCTCTTCCTCAATCATCTGTTACTCCTTATGTGGTGGAGGAAACCCAACATCTGGTCAACATCAACACCAATGACCTGACCCCTGAAACACCACCAGGCCTCACTGCATTCAACATCAAGGCAAAGGGCAGCAGTGACACAGTAACCAATCAGCAGCATCAGTGGGAGTCAGGTGACACCGTTCCAAAGAAGAAACCCAGGAAGCTAAGCAAACCGGTGAAGATAGAGAGAGAGGAGGTGAAAGGGAGGAGCATCAAGAAGGAGCAGGAGTTCTAAAGCAATAAGATCCTCTCCTCTGTACTTCTCAGTGTTAGATAGTACTGTATCATGGATAGATTACTCTAAACTCCTCTGTATGGTGCGTTTTTGTTGAGTGTAAATGTAATATTAACTAACTAAATATATTTATGGACTCAGTTGTGACTCTGTAATTATTCCATTATATCCAGTCACGAATTGTGACAAAATAGAGTTCTTCAGTACCTTACTTATTTTCTTAATTAAATAAATAAATTAGACATATTAAAATTAAATGTTACCCTTGGATACGATTTTTAAACTATTATTTTTTACATACTATTTTATTTTATTTTATTACATTTTATTTACTGCACAGGAACATTTCAATTCGAGTCGGGGCCCATTTCGTGACGGACCAAACCGGAAAAGATGCATGACGTTCGTAAACAAGGCTAGTTGTTCACATTTTCAAATTGACACATTGACAAATGACACCAGAAAATGACAACGTGACAGTAAAATGTCCAAGGTCCAGATTTTTAAAGACTTTGTTTCGCAAAGACTCGCGGTAGCCACGCAGGATATTTTAGCGGCCGTGGAAGGAATCGTAGCAGGATATGAGGAGGAGGCTTCGTTCTTAAGGGAGCAAATCGACCGGCAGAGGAAGCAGCTGGAGCTGCTGCAGCAGCCGCGGGTTCAACTGAATTTAGCTGGTTAGTTAACAGAGTTCATTTTCTTACTGTTCAAAGGGGCATTAAATGAATTATACGGACATGAGCGAGACAAACACCATAACGAATCCAAATCATTTATTTTTCACCTCGTGTTTTGACAAAGTGTACTATAGTTAATTTAACAATAAACACCATTTATTTCCAAAGAATCTTTTCTCTTTACGTCGGCAATAATGTCATTGACCAAATGGTCACAATTATTACTAAGAGAAGGAACGCGATCTGCATATAAAATCAGACAACATTGCTAAAGCTAATGTAAAAAAACAACAATACTGATCGTCGCTAATAATTAAAATGTTTTTATGAACATTCCCATAGATTCGGGAGTAACTGATGTGTGTTTTTAGGTGAAAATCAAAGCAGGAGACAGAGTGACCAGGAGGAGAAGGAGGAGGAGGAGGGTGAAACTGAGGAAGACGATAACAGTCTGACAAGGTTCTTCAGAAGAATCATATACTTTTCCTCAGGGTCAATACAGAAAGTTGGTGGGAAAGAAAACACCTCTAAATCATATCAACTGATTTTTTTTTATTTTAATTTTTTTTTTTTGTGCACACAGTTACACAGTGGAACTTGTGGATCTCCAGATTTGCTTTCTGGAAAACCCACGGACTAAAGTGCTGACTAAAAATGGTAAATAAAATCATACAGGATTAAAGGAGTAGTTCTAGTTTTATACATGGTTGTATCAGTCACTGCAGAGACACGTTTTCAGTGTTAGATACATATTAGTGATTGTTCCTAAAACTCATCTACACTGTGAAGCAAACACAACATAAAGTAGTTTTTCTTCTGTTCCTTCAAAGTTCTGAAAAAATGTCCAATGTTGACACTTAAGTGTCCTCGAAGTCTTCGGGAGTCAGACCTCCTGGACCTGATAAGGTCCAGCGTCCCTCAGCTGGCAGGGCAGAACCAACCTTTTGACATCCTGACGTCTGACAAGGGGCGGAGCTTACAGTGTTTGGACCCAAAGACCTGGACACTGGAGGAATTCTTTGAAAATATTCATTCTGCTGAAGGCCAGACATCCACCATCTTCATCAGACCAAAGGTAGTTCACCCCACAATGTTGTAGAGATACAGTAGTGGCTGAGATTAAAAAAAAAAAATTCAGATGTTCATTATGTGTATTTTTGTTTTTTAGATACAAAAAGAGACAGAAAAAATGGAGGAAGGGTCAAATCTGGAGACAAAGGCCTCTACGTCTGCTGCCCCCATGTGGCCATGTGAAGACATCAGCCCACAGACCAGGTACACCAGGTGGAACATCAAATCAGAATTTAACATTTCAAAAATTTCACAAGTTCTTTTCTGTTTTTCCCAAAGCAGTTATCTTTGTGATGAGAAGGTTGAGGAGGAGGAGGAGGAGGAGGAGGAGGCCAAAGAGGAAGGGCGCAGCATTAACATCCTGTTTACAAGCTCAACATCTCAGGAGGAAAGCAACATGCTAACAGAAGAAGCTAATGATGAGAATCTGAGGATGCTGCCGGTTCTGGACACTGTGTTCTGTCCTACAGCTCAAAGTGAACATGAAGTCAAAGTAGGAAAAGATCTCAGACCTGACGAGAGAGAGGAGAAGAACCAGAACATGAAAATGAATAAGCAGGAAAATGGTGACAACATCCCTGTTTGTAAAGTCTGTGGAGCTTTCAACGGATCTGACGAAGCATTCGTCCAACATGTCTGGAGTCACACTGACGATGCAGGAAGTGTCTGCGGCATCTGTGGAGAACGTCTGGAGACCACAGAGTTCCTGAAGGATCATCTTCAACAGTGCCATGAATCTCACAGTATTGATGAACACATGACCACACAATCGGACCGGACGCTGCAGAAATGCAACCTGTGTGAGGCTGCCTTTGTGTCGAAGATGTCCCTGGAGAACCATCAGAAGATCCACGAGGGTCTAAAACCTCAGGAGGAGCTGAAGAAGAAGAAGATGCACATGTGTGGCGTTTGCGGCAAATCCCTCAGCGACTACAGGTCTCTGTCCCGGCACAAGATGATCCATTCTGGAGAAAGACCGCACCGATGTGAGGTCTGTGGGCGGAGCTTCAAACTGGCCGGCACCTTAAGGCAACATGAGAAGATCCACATGGACCGAGAGCGATCGTACCTGTGCGACGTCTGCTGCAAGATGTTCCTGACCAGCAAGCAGCTGCAGATCCACATGAGGACACACACTGATGAGAAACCCTACAGCTGCAACCAGTGTGGACGCGGGTTTAACACAAAGGGAACACTGACCATTCACATGAGGATCCACACCGGAGAAACACCGTACCGCTGCCCTGACTGTGGGTGGGCCTTCAAGCGCAAGAGCAACCTGGACAACCATGTCACCACCCACTCGGGTGTCAAAGCCTTCATCTGCGGCGTTTGTGGGAAGGCGTGTGCTCGCAAGACGCACTTGAATGTTCACATGAGGACACACAACGGCGAGAGGCCGTACAAGTGTACGCTGTGCGACAAAGCGTTCACGCAGAGCCACTGCCTCAAAACACACATGAAAAGTCACCGCACGGCAGAAGCTGTGACGTAGCAAAAAAACACATGACAACTGATTGGAATCTGACCAGTTATATGAAGCACTTTCTGTACATTGCGGTAGGTTGCGTGCTAACACATGCTATTTAAATTAAATCTAATAAAATACTAATGATTATTTGTTGTTGGTGAGAATCTTACTTTGAAACTTTTAGTAGTCCTGGAACCCAGCTACAAAGAGAGTCTGAATCTGAACTGTTCTGGCCCACTAATGGCCCTGAGTTTTGCAACAGCATCACTAAAAGAGCTTATTTACAAACCTGCACCACCGACCACACAGACATGATCAACAGGTGTCTGTAATCTGACACTGACCAGGGGGCGGGGCCTTACTGAGGCTGACGAAGTTGACAATCAGGGTGAGTGGTTGATGCTCTTGCCGTACTGCATGCAGATCACCTGTTTGATTCCTGGTGGCGACGCTCGTCCAAACAACAACAGTCACGATTTAATGTTGTGCTAACGTTATTTTATTATTAAACCACCACACTTCACCAGACATATGTTATGAAACTGAAGCTTAGCAAAGTATTGTATGTTTGAAGTCAAATTCAACATCCAAACCTCAAATTCACAGTAAAAAAACAACAACATAAGAAATAATAATCTCATCGTCTGCCTTTTAATTCAAACACATAAGACGTGTTCACCTCTATTGGTGTTGGGTTCTTTTCATTTACCAGATGTTTTAGGTTTGAAATGAACCTGAACACAAGCCCACTCCTCTGCATTTGTTAAATACAACTCCTTATTCCTGGCTATAGTTACTGCAGTAAAATGTATTTCTTAAACAGGACATACATCACAATTCCTGACTAGTTAAACCTTTATCTAGTAAATACGACCGTATCTTTACTCCTAATTGACTGGATGCCTGAACACTGACCACAGATCAGTTTTCCTAGCCCTGTGTAGGAACAGCAGAGGTAAAACCAAATTACTGGGCAGCCCAGTGGTGAGCCCAATAACCAGCAGTATGCAGCCACCCTCGTAGCTTAGCAGTTCTAATGCACTCAGAGCAATGCAGGTGAGCAAGCTCACGAACCACAGGAACAGCACCGCCATGATGGCCATGGCAGTGTGGAGGGCGCGCTGGCTGGAATGGTTAGCATGTGTGCGCACTGGGTGTTTGGCCACGTTTCCGGGCCTCGGACGAATCAGAACGCAGAGAACGTTGAGGCTACAGAAGGAAACGATTGTGAACGACAGCAGCAGCATTATGGTGAACGGAACGACAGGGACCTCCGGAGCGTACAGGACCGATACACCTCTCCAGCCGAAACACAACAGCCATACGCAGCTGATACTGACATTTCTGATCCAGATACCTGATGACTGCTTCAGCCGCCTGTAGGTGACTGGGTGAACTACAGCCAGGTAGCGCTCCACACAGGTCAAGATGTGGAAGCACATCTCTGCAGGAAGAACCATATCTGTAAAATTGAGGGCAACAAAAACTAACACTGGCTTGTTGTGATAGATTCCAATAAGGAAGACGGGAACTCCGACCAGACCGCTCAGCTCTATGGCCACCAGGTGGTACGTGAACACGTCGCTGTGGCTCCCAGATTTGAAGGAATGCCCGTGTTTGAAACGATGGAGTCCATGGAGGAGGACAAGGACACAGAGAGGGAATAAGGCCAAGGTTTTGATGATGTTGTAAGTGATGCTCATCTTTAAGGCGATTGTGGAGTCCATACAGTGATACAGTTGGGTTTGGGTGGAGTTGATCGACATGTCTGTGAAGACAAAGACCTAGATGATACACAAGCATCAGCTAAACCTGGCTAAAGAATGTGCGGAGGTAGAAATGTAAGAAATTGATGTTTGTAAACCACTGCCTCCAGTGGTCAGTCTGTGTCACTGAGGTAAAACAAAGCAAAGCATTTAACACTGTCTAGTCAAAAAATAAATATTTGAACTTAGTGTTGGAGGCAGCAGATGATGAGCAGTGACTCTGCTCCTAACTTCTCGTGGAGTAGATTTAAACAGATGTTTAAATAAAGTCAGCTGAGATAACACTCACCTCCTGGTTCCCAGGTTCTCCTCCTGGTTCCTGCTTCAGACCTGATTATAATTAAACTTGTAGTGTGTGTTGGTTTTTGATGTGCCCAGTGATGGACGCACACACACACACACACCTCACTGTGGCTGTCTTTTTGCATGTCATAAATTAAATAGAGAGCTTCTCTGTCTATGGCACACTCTCATTTGACTGAAGGACACTGAGTCAACATCATTTTCCTCATTAGCAATAGAAGACATAAACAATGACAACAAACAACAGGCATAAAGGTACAACTCAACAGTGACCCCCACAGGGCAAAAACCTCTTCGTCCACAACTTACTACAGTACTTTTCAGGGCCACGGGGGAACGGGGGCTGAACAGGTGAGGACGGGGTTAGACCCTGTCTGTCTCTAGTCCATCACATTCACACCTACAGTCAACTTGGAGTGAAAAGTTAGGCTAATCCTGCAAACTGTTCACAGAAAGACCAGCAGTTAGATCCTGGAGCTGCTCCCTCACCAGACAATGTTCAGAGCACAGACCTGGAATACTTTCACATCGACTCCAAAGCTCTAGAACTTACACAGTGGTGTTGAGGTGTCCAGGCTGCAGCTGGAGTTGTTGTTGTTGTTGTGTTTGTGGAACACATGGACTGACAGGATCGTAGCTGCAGGGATGGAGTGATTTTCATACAGTCTGCCGTATCTGAGAGAATTCAAATGGGCTGTCAAAACAGCGGCTGGTGTTTATACCTGTGTACTCTGAGTACACAGACCACAAGTTTTAGCTGTTGACCCTGATGACTTGCATTCAAAGGCTTTTATATTCATGTGTACTATGTTGCATTATTTGCAAAAGTCATGTTTGGCCATTTTGTGTTCATATTTGACTTAATTTGTTTGACTGAAGTATTGTGTCTTTTTAGCCTGAGTAGAAGAAACATGCACCTGCAGGTGCATGTTTTCTTGGGCTTTTTAGCATTTTTGATGCAAAATTAATTCAACCACATGCACTCTTGTCAACTTCATATTTCAATATATGTGTTGTGCACATATAATCTAATGGTACTCTAATGACCACTAAAAGTGGCTTTGAAAAAGCTGAACTTACCACATAGAGGAAATCAGTGGCTTTAGCTCACAGGGACACAGAAGCTGCTGGTGTGGACTTTGTTGTGCAAGATATTCTTATTCCTACTTTTAACATCTGCCTTCTACGTCTAGGAACAACATAGGTTGGCTTTACAGTAGGAAAAACCAAGCACACCCGCATGTGTTCCTGTCGAAACAACACGCACACGTGTGGGAGTTTCAGGTATTGAGGTGTATTTCTTTAATGTTGTCCTGTACTACATGTCTGTGCTTCAGTTTAACAACGTAAATTCCGACATTCATGTACAACTTGAACGCACCAATAATTATAATCACAATATGACATTGAAGTAGCAAGTTCACCAACAGATAATGAACAATGAATATTAGATACAGTTGTCAGGACATGGAAACGTCAGCTACTTACTCTCTGAGTTTAATGAATTTAATTAATCTTTTTTTTCTACAGTGTATCAAGAAAGAATCAGGTTGAGCCACAGACATTTTTTTATCACTGCACACACACACGCACGTCTAAAAAGATCTTAACAACGTCGATGCACAATACACAAAACTACAGTAGTGTCACACAATGTTATGTGATAATTTACACAAAAACACCTTTTAGCATTTTTACATTAATACAACAATAGAGTTTCAATCAAAAATATATCCCTTGGTCCTTGTTTTCTGTGTCTACAGCCTTCAATCGATTGTTATTTACATGTTGACAAAAACAAAATTAAAAATGTTTAATTCTAAAAGTTTGAATTTAGGTCTGAAATGACTTAAGGTCTTTTTAATCTGGCCTTCAATCTTGTCCCAATTATATTATTAAATTATATTATCATCAGATTTGTCATGTTGCATATTTCCTGCAATGCTTGTGTTTTCCCTAGATGGCGCACTCCAGAGGTGAGGTGTATTTCTCACACTTTGCTTTTGTTTAAAATCCCAACCCTTTAGTAAAAGAAACGACAAGTGGACGGTGAGTGTTTAATAAGGAGTGGAAAACAAAATATTTTTTCATTGAACGCTCTCTCTCCACTCAAAGAATACAATAGTCGTCACTTCACCACGAGGAGCAAAATGCTAAATGCTAAAAACATGAATGCTTGGCCTTTATATGTCAATTTTCTAATAAACTCCAGAATAACATCAGATGGGCAAGAATGAAGATCAAACTAATTCGATCCTGCAGTAGCTCAATTGTCAAGGGCCACCTCACCAATAGGAGGCTCCATATAAACAACAATCATGGAGAAGCCCATCAAAGGCCTTGGTCGCTGGTACAATGCAGAGCTCAAAGATGGGATTCAATCCCTAGCCTAAAGCAGATAAACAGCACTGCTCTCCCAGGGAAGCTGAAGCTCCGGTGCTTTCTCTTTGGACTTCCCCCGCCTTATGTGGCCAACTTCAATCTATGAGGTCACCCTATCCCATGACAATCGTCCTGAGACGTTGGTTAATGCACAGGAGAGGAAGTGGCTTGGACTACCCAGATGTCTCAGCAGCATAGGCCTGTATGGGAACGAAGCCCTCTCTCTCCCAATCTCAAGTCTGGTGGAGGGGTGCAAACAAGGCTTGAGGTGACCCTTACGGAATCCCAGGATCCCTTTGTTAGAGGTGCCACTCACAGGCATAGCAGTCGCACAGGCAAAGACCACCCCGAGACATCGGGACATGGTGAGCCGACAGTCGTCAATCAATCAGACCGCAATTTGTTTTTAATGACGTGTCAGGGTGCAAGGCTTTTTGAATCTCATGAATCTTAACAGAAACTCAATGAAGAAGCAAAAATGCTAGAGGGATCAATGGGTCAGTTTTATTGCTCAGAGGTAACAGCGTGTTGATGTGAAGCCTTTATATTGATTAGTTCTGTATTTCTTTAATTTGTCCACCACTGAATTTTCATATAGTTTGATTTTTATCTATTTGCTTCAGTACTTCTAACTTGAGTGTATTTGAGTCTTAATTCCTATCTTACGAATATAGGAATTAATACGAATACTATATTATTCCATGAATTCTATTATTTTCTCCTTTGTTGAGAACTGTTCTAATATTTAATTTGTGGCTAGTGCTCTGCTCAGGGCCTAGCATCATGGTGACTTCTCATCTATTTGTCTAAAGGTCTGGTTTTACAGCTGAAACAGGCGAAGACTCCCGCTCTGTGCAGATACTGCAGAGGAACCAGGGCGCTGCAGGGAAGACAGAACAAACTCCCAAACACCAGAACCAAACAGCCCAGGCTGTGTTGACCTGCGTCCAGCATGAAGATCACGTTGTAAATCATGAGACCTAACGACCTCAGCACCAGGGTTCCTGTGATGAGCAGAATGTGATGGTAGGCCCTCAGCTTTGATTGGTCGATCCCTTTCCTGCCAACTTTCCTCAGACCTGAGTTGATCAGAACATGAAGAATAGCGAGAGTGCAGAACGTCACAACAGCTATGACGAGGAGAAGGACCACGATGAACACCACACCAGGGAACTCTGGGAACTGGGAGATGCACACCAGCATCAGTACCAGGGAGAAGACACAAATGGCAAGACTGCTGACGTGCCGGAACCAAATGGACTTCTTCAGACTCAGGTAGGCGATGGGATGGACCACCGCTACGTAACGCTCCAGACAGGTCAAGCAGTGGAAGAAAGACTGCGTTGGGTACGTAGTGGTGATAAGATAGTACGCAGTCGTCCTCACGGACAGGTTGCAGGTGAAAATGGAAACACAGTTCAAGATAAATCCAACATTCATCAAGACCTCGGTGGCAGCCATGTGGTAAACAAAGACATCATAGTGGCTCAAGGGTTCTTTTCCTTCGTTCCAACATCGACTGAAACCCATCCACAGGATGATGATGCACATGGGGACGATGAGGAAGTTTATGGTGGCCAAAGTGGTGAAGACAGGCAAACTGAATGCGGTTTGAAAGCAAAGATAGAAGATTGGGTAGAGGGATGTGTTGACGCTGCAGCCCATGTGAAGGAGTGAGGTGTTGGAGAAGGAGTCGATCGACGACATTGTAGTTAACTGAAGTAACAAAAACAAGGCTAATACTTAGCTTTGGTTTCACCTCAATGTTGTGTTTTAAATATCCCGTATATTTTGAGCCACTAGAGGCAGCAAAAACCACAAGGAAAAATTTACAAATGAATACTCAATAAAATGAGCCTGGGAAAACCAGAGATGCCTTTCAATGCATAATGAGCTTTGCTGTATTTACATATATTTCTTATAATGAAAAAAAAAAGTATGTCTAACTTAGCTTAAAAGTAAATACCAAAACATTAAATAAAGTAGGTAGTATTTCATACAGCAATAATATAATTTATTCTGCTAAACACAATTTTAACTGAAAAAAGGTAAGTTATTAAGAGACAAGAACTTTTTTTTTTAATTGCAAAAAGTGTATAAGAGGAAAGCTATAATCAGGACCAACCTTGTGAGCTGCATCAGGTCTGATTCTGCTCCTGTCCTGAGGATTATCTTTCACTCCAGTCTGTCAGTTCACATTACTGTACACCGCAAAACATCCATCATCAGTGATTGACTGTTGGTTTTTTTTTGCATTGTTTTTCACCAGTTGTGGGATGGAAATCAGAAACTTCTTTGCATGATGCAAAAATCTCACATTTAAGTTGTACTGAGTCTGTTTTTTCCATGAGAGCCATGGGCTGTCATTTATTAAAACAGTCCCAGAACCAGTTATGATAGCCACAGAAGTTATTTGTTTTTGTATGTCAACAAATATGACAGCTGGCACCATTCTGTAGTCTTCAAATATTTAAGTTAGCTGAAAAAAGAAAAAGAACAAAATGATAACTGATTTAAAAAAGAGAAAGTAAAAATTACACAAAAGCATGAAATGAGCTTCAATAAAAAGATAAATAGTTGCAGAATAATAATAATAATAATAATATAACCCATAGCTAGCTAAACTGCAAAAAACTGTGGATGATAAAATAAACAAATGCCAAAATGTATTTAAAACTACAAGTAAGCAAACAGACAGAAACCAAGACAAGCTAATAGATTACAACACCCCCCAAAAAACTTTAGTTCATAGAAACATTTGGATATCAACTGGGCTATAAGCTAGTTACAAAAATGAATAAAGTTCGCAAAACAAGAGGCTAATCCCAAAATATTGGCTAATAAAACAACTGTGAGTTGCAACAAAACAGCAAATAATTAAACAAGTGATGTGTTAAAATTGTTAAAATATACAAAAGTCAAAATACTCACCCTCAATATTGCAATCTTCTGTGTTTTACATGCCCGGTTTTATAACATGTAATGAAATTGTAGTAGTTATATCGTTCGGGGGGCGACGAATAGTTCTATTCGTGACGTGTTTCCCGTCGGTCTGTTTAAGTAGACGGACCAGTGCACCTTGAACTGGTCGCAAGAAAAATAAAAGCCTGGTCTATTCTTTTTTCTTTAAACTATTCTACAACTTTTCGCTTATGTCACTTTTTCTCCGCACAGGCCCTGCGGCCGCCAGGCGGCTGTCACGCCGAACAGCCTCTGAGAAATGCTTCGGTTCGTGTTTCGAAGCGAACTTTTTGCATCACAGATGTTCGTCCGCGGTACTGTCTCTCAAATCAGACCGTCAAATCAGAACCCGGTCCTGTTTGTGGTCCAGGTCCAGGTCTTACTCCAGTTTCTCTAAGACCAGACCGATCCGGATCGGCTGTGCCTCCGGGTTCTGGGGGGACACAGCGACCTCAGGTGCGCACACACGTCACTGTTTTATTTCGGTCACGCAAGGGAATGTTTTCAGTTTTCTTAAACTTTTTTTGTTTGACGTAACTTTGCTGTGTACTCACGGCCTCGACCTGATGGTACAACCTAGCTCCTGTGACACTTGGTCCATTAAGTTACGCTCAGTAATACTCCTGAAGGCAAAAAATACATTTGGATATGCGAAACCAATTTAATAATTTACAAACAAAAGCACAACAAAAACTGTCGCCAGCCTGCGGTCAAAAAACAAAACACTTCCTGTGCGCCACACCTGAATTAATTAGTGGGCACCTTAATTGGCCTTCAGCCACAGCGCCACTATGAGAATGGCTCCAGCAGCTACCAAAATCAATCACATTATTTTTCAATGTGAGCTTCAGTATATTTGAATACTAATGACTGACTTAAAGATATATTTTATCCAAATGCAGTACCTCAAAGATTGCATTAATTTTATATATGGGGAATTGAATTTAGATTCAGTGACCTATACATTAAAATATTTATTATTATATAATTATAAATGTAATATACAGTATAATATAACAGTATAATTATATTATATTTAATATAATATAATTATATATTATATATAATATAACAGTATAATTATAATAAAAAGTAATACATTTAAAAATGTATCCAATATTTAAAAAAATTCTGAATTGCAAAATTGTAAAGGGCACAATCTATGATCAAAATGTCCAAAAAGCCATAGTAACTCATACACACAATAGATTGGATTACTGTGTATAAGTTGGTATTTTTGTTTCCTGTAAACAGGCCAGCACAGAAAAATATAATGTTGAGTTTTTGTGTTTTCAGTGCCTCAGTTGATCCATGGTGGGAAGCTTGACTTCCTGGTTTTTGACTACCTCAGTGAGATCACCATGTCCCTGCTGACTGCTGCCAAGGCCAAGATGCCAGTGAGTTCAGCTGTGTGCGTGCCTGTGCGCATGCATGTTCGTGTGGTGTAACATGTCCTGTCTCTTCACAGAACATGGGCTACGCTCCAGACTTTGTCCAGTTGGCTCTGGCTCCGTTTATCAATGACATCCACAGGAAAGGTGAGTTAGCTTAACTAAAAAAAGAAAAAAGAAAGGTCCATCTCTGCCATCTGCTGGTCGTCGGTTAGGTTTCCATGTTTGAACCAAAATTTACACATTCTCCCCTTACCAAACTCCATTAAAAAGTCAGTGATTTTAGGTGACAGGATTTTGTTCTGAAAGAGAAAAAAGAGCTTAAATCACATTAACATTTCATGTAAACATTGTGTTGTTGAAACTTTTAATTGAAAACTAGTGTTTGTAAACTGCTCACTCATCAAACCAAAGTTCATCGAGAAATTCAGTGATTTTAGCTCACAGGGACACAGGGTCTGCTGGTTCACTGCTGCCTCGTGTGGTGAGTTTATGTCATTGAGATTGATATGAATGAAGGATTTTGAATACTACGTGTTTTAAATAATACTTTTGAACTCACCAAAGTAAGAGCCAAGCTTCATCAACTTCCTACGTGTTGTTTTGTAAAATTGCTAGTTTTCTCCATGTGTTTTGTTTGGGAGACTAATAATGGATTTGTAAATGTACTTGTTAAGGCAGTTTCCACGGTACATGTACTCCTCGCAGGCATTCGTGTTGTCAGCAACGCTGGAGGTGTGAACCCACTGTCCTGCGCTGAGGCTATTAGGGAAGTGGTGAAGAAGGCAGGTCTCGACCTCAAGGTGGCAGTGGTGACTGGTGATGACCTAATGCCCCATGTGAGTCACTATTTTAAATTACAACATGTTTTTTTCCCTCTTCGAGGTGATTTTATTTGTAAAAAAAAATCCCAATAAAATTCTTCCTGGTCAGAGAAACGGCATCACTGAGGTAAAAATGGCCGATGGCGGTGACAGACAACCACTACCTAAAACACTCCACAGTATGAACGCGTACCTCGGGTAAGAAGACACACACACACGCACACACATTCAATGATTTAAGGGCAGATTAAATGTTCTCCATCTGTTCTCAGGGCCACTCCCATCAAACGTTGTCTGGACCACGGCGCTGACATCGTCATCACAGGACGCTGCGTGGACAGCGCTGTCACTCTGGGCCCGCTCATGCACTCTGTACGTTTTAACATCACCTTCTCTGACTGACCCTGAGGTTTACAGCTGACAGCGGCACCTTGTGGATGCTGACGCCACAGTATCAGGACTCTCACAAAATTATTTGGTCCAATGACGATAGATTTATACCTTCTCTCTTTTTTTCTTATCTCTTGGAACGTCTTCTAGATGAATTACTTATGAGTGGAAAACAGGCCCAGTAGGTGGCAGTAATCTAAACCACAAGACTTAGATCCGCTGGTAAAGACCAAAAAATAAAAGAGAGGCTAAAGGTGTTAACAGGGCGAGTTGAATCAGACACAATCGCTCCCTGAACGTCTTCGTCTTCTACAGTTAGCCTTGTTAACACACGCCCTAAACGCTAAGTGCTATCCAACTGCCAGTATGCTACATGGTACTGCCACTGCTCACACACATTCATTTGCTAAGAGGTAGCATGTCATTGAAACACTGCTAACACACTGTCAGTGCTACAGTGTCATGTGTGTCCTCATTCAGTTCTATTACAAATATTTTCTTCAATTTCCTGGTGAAACACTTCTCTAAACAATACACCAGAATATGGGAACTGGAACAGGGCTTGAAATGAGTACTTAGCTCCACCTACAGGCCAGGAAAGGGGAGATCTTTGTTCAGAGTTATCAAACGCAGTGTGCTACTATATTTTGACTTCAGACGGCAGACTCTTGCACTGGTGCATTGTGGGCAATGTTTGGGAGTTTTTGAGAGCGTTCTGTCCCACAGGAAGTGGAGGAGAAAAAATGTATTCTTTATTTATCTTCAGGGAGTGAGACGTTGTACTAGGTTGGAACGTATGTTGACAGTCAATGTTTCTGTTGCAGTTTGGATGGAAGACAGATGAATATGACCTACTTGCAGCTGGGAGGTAAACACACACACACACACACACTAATTCCAACATTATAAATTCAACTTCCTTGATTTAATAGTCTAAAAAAGACAGTGTTTTAGTCTTAAATCCTTCAGTTTATGTGTATACAGTTCATGACCCAGATCTTCCATGTCCTTGGTTCTTTAGTTCCAGGTTTATTCTCTATCTGAAGTGTTAGTCTGAGGTTTAATGCTGACTGTAAATATCGTTATTCATAGGTTTATTTCTGAAGTTAGAATCAGTGTGTGTGTGTGTGTCAGTCTGGCAGGTCACCTGATCGAGTGTGGAGCTCAGAGCACTGGTGGAATCTTCACAGACTGGTACCAAGTTCCTGATTGGTGAGGAAAACCCTCTAAATCCTCCTGACGTGTCTATAGAGTCCAGGTCCTGCTGTGGAAACTTGTCCAGTGTCCTCTCTCAGGGACAACATGGGGTTCCCTGTGGTGGAAGTCTCCAGCGATGGAACCTTCCTTCTCTCCAAACCGCCCAGAACTGGAGGCCTGGTGTCCTTCGGATCAGTGGCCGAGCAGCTGGTGTATGAGATAGGAGATCCTCGACGATACCTGCTGCCTGACGTCACCTGTGACTTCAGTCAGGTGATCATCAAGGAGAAGCCAGGTACACACACACACGCATACACACACACAATCACTGCTCTGCAAAAGGTCTGAGGTTGACTGAAAAATCCAAACCTGCTGACTGTTCACCTGATGTCATCAGCAACACACGTGTCTGTGATTAGTCCTGATGTGTCTTTATGAATTCCTGTCCCTGAGTTGGCGTTGAGGACGTGACCTCAGGATGAACCCTCAGCTGTTTTCCTGACCCTGGAAAACAAACGTGTCTGGAACTTTGTTTTGACCTGGATCTGAACCTTCAGCCTGGGCTCGACCTTTAATAAACACTTTATCAGCCACTATTCTCTCCTCAAACTAAACACTTCTCCACGGCTGCTGTGGAGTCTCACCCTCAGTCGACCTCCTCCTCCTCCTCTGAACTCCTGCTCCCTGATAACACACTTCTCCTCCTCCGTTATTAATTTGTACCGTTTGTTTGTTTTTTTTTTTTAAACCAAAACTCAGTAAGGCCAGAGGAGACGGACATCTGCGTCTGACTGAAAGTATGTAGAAAACATTCTGGAACATTCAGGTCAAATGGTGACCAGAGCTGCTGCTGCTGCTGCTGCTGCTGCTGCTGCTCGGAACATGAACACAGCTTATATTTAGAAAAATGCTCCGTGATCGTCCTTACAGAAACGTAGAATAAAACAAATACTGGAAGGCTCTCAGGAGATTTAGTTTGTACAAAATAAACTTGGAAAACAGAACAGTCTGGTTTGCTGCATTTCTACCTGCTGCATTATCAATTAAGTGTGTGTTTGTGTGTGTGTGTGCGCACAGGGGTTGACGGTGGATCAGTCACTGTCACTGGGGCCAAAGGCTTTAGTCCATCACAGGACTACAAGGTAAAATGTGTCCTCATCATCCTTGTCCTCGGGACACCATTGTCGTCCTTCCCATCACTGTCCACATCCTTGTCCTCAGCCTGGTCTTAACGCCGATGTCCTCAATGTGTGTCCCAGGTTTGTGCCACATACATGGATGGGTTCAGGGCAACAGCTGTGTGTCCAGTTGGAGGGCCGAGAGCTGCAGAGAAGGCCAGGAGGACAGCGGACAGTATCGTCAAACGGTGAGAGACAGTGTTGTCATTTAACCACCAGGGGGCCACTTGGCAAATGCCATAAACCAGGGGTCACCAACCTTTTTGACACTTAGTAATACAGAGAGCTGCTTGTTTAATACAGACTTCCTGAACAATGTAATAATAATCAGTTCTGGGACATGACCCCTTTTGACCCTCTTGTTGACTAGCTTTATTTCAAGAACCTGCGAGGGCTACCAGGTGACCCCAGGCACCACGTTGGTGACCCCTGCCATAAACACTAAGTTATCATGCAACGCCTTTTGTTTTTGTGTGTCTGTCCAGGATGAAACACATCTTTAAGCAGCTGCAACTGGAAGACTTCAACTCCGTCCATGTCCAGGTCCTTGGAGCTGAGGACACGTACGGTCCTCACGCTCGGAGCAAAGTGAGTTTGTAAGATAAAATCCAGTCACCGTCCCACAGCAAACTCCATAGAGAAAATGGACTGTTTTACCCTGTGCCTCCTGCAAAGCTGTCGACCCACGGCTGCCACCGTCGACCAGGTCAACGTGTTCATTTGTGTTAAGATTGTGGTGAATGTTACTTAAGTGACCACAGGAGGCAGCAGTGGAACAGCAGCTTCAGCGCTCTTACCAGCCAAATGTACTGATGTTCTCTATGGACTTTGTGACAATAGTTTTCTATGGACTTAAACACTGTGTGTATGTGTGTGTGTGTGTGTAGGGCTGTAGAGAGGCTGTGCTCTGGTTGTCCGTTCACCACACACAGAAGAAAGCTCTGGAGATGTTCTCCAGAGAAGTCGCTCCTGCTGGGACTGGCATGGGTGTGAACACACACACAAACACACACACAAACACACACAGATAGAAAAGGTTGCGACCTCCTGAATCTGATTTTGTTTATGCTGAAGTGAAGTTCACACACGTTCATGAACTCTGTCTGACTGTGTTGAGTCATGGTGCTGTTGAACTGTAAGTGGAACAGGAAGCTGGGTTCCATTGGGAACAGCTGCTTCAGCCTACAACAGTCAGCAGGGTCAGGCTGCGTTCACCACACACACTGTGGCTGAACCAGTCGTCTTCCTCTCTGATGCCACTGACTGTCAGTCAGATGATGTTGACACACATTTTAGTTTTGGTTTGGTTCAACAACAACATCAGTCAAACTGTTGATTTAAAAGTTGCCCTCTGTTTGTGACACAGTAGAACTGGGACCTCCCTGTAAATAGACCCTGATCCTACGTACTTAATGTATCATGACAGTAGGAATACACCAAAATGATAATTCTTGGCCAAAATCAAAAAATCAAGGCCGAAAACCGAAACAGCAAAAGAAATGATTTTACAAATTATTAGTACCATTACATTTATGGCTACGACTGAGAATTAAACCTCACTGCAATTGCATACATTAATATGAATGTTTCAAAGAATAAATCAATAACAAAATTATGAAAATATGTATTTAGCACATTTCAACAAGGCACAATATGAAATAAAATTCAAAATAAAATGTTGGAAGTTACATGTTGTAATGTAACCCGTCTCCACTAGGACTACTGCAACAAAGTGTGTTCAGAACAACAATCAAGGGCAACTGCTGAACGATATGACAGTATTGTCTCTGTAGGCCTACAATATAACCAGGCGAGCTGTGGATCATGAACAGATCTCACCACGGTGGCTTTAGTTTTTGCTTGCATCATCACAACAATCTTTTTTTGGCTGCATTATTACAGTGAAAAAAGTGTTTGGGCCAAAACCAAAAATGCAGTTTTGGGGTATTTTAGGTGGCCAAATATTTGGTGCATCCCTACATGACAACTAATGAAAATGTAGTGAACAAACCTGCAAAATGTTCATTTTCCTGCTCTAAAATGTTTTTGTGATTTTTACCAAATGCCAACTATTCCAAAAGAAAATTAAATTAGTTAAAGCTGCAAGTGCAAAAGGGAAATCTTAGCTCAGTGCTAGCCAAACCTGGACAAATTAGAACATTTAAATGGCCAGAAGAAATCCAGTAATTAGTAAACTTTAGGTTAGCAATAAAAATATAATCAGAGGATAGAAATTGTAGCTAAAAGTTAGCCAATAAAGGATAGTAACCAAAAAATGACTAAATATATTCCAAACAAACACAAATACTGGCAAAAATATAAAGAAGTACTTGTGTCTCCTTCTGTGTCTTCCTCACTAGCTCCTGGTCTCACAGGAATCGTGGGTGGTCGTCCCCGAGTGTGAGTCCAACACTGGTCATTTTGTCTTTTTATCATGTTTGCACACATTGTGGTTTCAACCACATCATTTCATGTGTGTTTTCCAGGTCTCCTGTGCTGAAGCCGTTCTTCTTCTTACACCCTAAATCTGAAACAAAGGTCAGTGACGAACAGCATTCCTTAAAATGCTACTTAAGATTGAACTCTGATTCGTATTAGATCAAATGCAATCCTAAGGATGAGTAATGCCTGGAGAAAGTCTGTGCTTTACTTGGCATATGTGGATTTTACTTGTCAGGATCGTCAGTAGTTGAAATACCCAGTCTTATGTTTATTGCATTTCCTGTTCCTGTTGCGATCTGATTGGCCACATTTAAATATGTGGGCAGGGTTTTAAAAAAGTATTTTAATATGTGGGCAGGGTTTTAAAAAAGTAACCTGTCATAACACTCTTATCAACCAGTCTGTTATCAATCTCTTTAGGTGGATGTCCACGTTAATGGAGAGTTGGTTGAGTCAGTTTCAGAGGTGGGGCCTGACACGGCCGTTGATGAGGCCCCGCCTACCTCAGCTGAGGATGTACCAGACACAGGTGAGCCAATCAGAGGCCAGCTTATACTGTCACCGAGTCTTCAAGGAGCTTAGAGAGGAACAGGAAGAACATGCTAGAGATGTTTGAGAGGCTCCATGAGGTTCTGTTGGATTCATACTGATGAATATAATTCCAGGACACCTTGTGAATGTTCAAGGTGTCACTAATGTCCAGGGTGTTCATTGGACAGAAGGTTAAAAGGGTCCTGGAGTCGTCCATGGTTTGTTTCCATGAATGAATAGTGAAGCTGCTGCTCATTTGTAGAACCATCATGAACTTGTGTTTACTCCACATGAGAGTAGTACTGAAGGCTGTCAAAAGGGGGAGACAGCCTCCAAGTTTCGTGTTTGTGTCTGTGTTTGAGCCCTGGGAAATACAGACCGTGCAACTTCACACAACACAAACACGCACCAGCAGAGTTCTTTGAGACGTCTTGGATCCTTGAGTCGTCTCCAAACACTGCTTCACACCGTGCCTCTGAAATAAATCACGCCGTTATAGTCTTCACTCAGACGGTGCCTGGAAAGGTTCAATGGATATTTAAGGAGCTTAGTTTGGTCTGTGAAAGGCTTCCAGGTTTCTCCCAAAGTTCTTGAATGGCTGCAGCCTGCAGCCTTAAAGACACTGAAAATACTTGTAAGAGATTGAAACGGCGCTTGGAGAGTCCTGGTATGGGTTCAAAAGGTCTTTGATGAGGTTTGCAGCTACTTTACAAGGTTCAGCTTGACCTTGAGTTCATGTACAAAACTTCAGGTTTCCTTGACAACCACACAATTGTTTTTAAAAGGTCAGGGGGGTTGTGAAACATCCATTAGAAGTTTTTATAATGTTGGGGGGGCATTGGCAGGTCACATATGGTACTTGAAAGAGTTCAGAGTGTGGGTTACGTGGTCCTTGAGTAGATTCAGGTCCTTGAAGGTGTCTGCTGACTCTTTGATGGACGCAGACACCTCTTAAATACATTAGCAGACACCTTGAGGGTGCAGTTAGGCCTTGGAGCTCTTGAAAAAGTTCCTGAGTCGTTTCTGTCTGTCAGGGATTCTTCTTTTACATGTGCTCATAAGGACCTGGAGAGATAGAGGTGGTTTTTGGAGACATTTCTAGGGTCCTTGAGGCAGTTGGACTGTATTGGGAGAACAGATGTGATGACACCTGGGTCTGTGTCTGTGAGCAGATCTGCCCAGTGGACCACACAGCTACAGACTGGAGGATCTGGCCTACACCAGGAGTGGAGACAAAGGAGACACAGCCAACATCGGTGAGGACACTGGTTGCCATGGTTACAGCCAGGACATTTCAAAAACTGTTGGAAAACAAGTCTGTACCCCTTCACTGACTGCGTCTCTCTCCCTCTTCCTCTCTGTCTTTCCCACTCCCTCGGTCTTTGCCCTCCATCCCTGTCTTTCTCAATATCACTACCTCCTCCCTCCATCCGTCCCGTCTCCTTCCTTCCTCTCTCTCTCTCTCTCTCACTCTGTGCCCCACCCCCAACCCTTCTCCTCTGTAGGTGTCGTTGCTCGTCATCCTCTCTTCTACCCATACCTGAAGAAACACCTGACGTCTTCGGTGGTGGAGGAATATTTTTCTCACGTCATACAGCCAGGAGTCAGGGAGGCAGTCACGAGGTGAGAACACACAACCGTGTGTGTGTGTGTGTATGTGTGTGTGTGTGTGTGTGTATGACTTACCAATGTGTCAGAGTTCATCCTAATGAGGAAGTGAAGGTCGTAAAATTCACCGAGCTGTGTCTCAGACGTTTCATTACCACAGCAGCCTGAACTTGTTCACACACACACCAACACACACACATAACGACTTACAGACAAACATGTGTGTTTCAGTCTGTAGGTCATTAAGTGTGTGTGGAATTTTAATTACACATTTTTTTACAGATATACTCTGCCAGGGATCCATGGCCTCAACTTCGTCTTGCGCAGTTCACTGGGTGGAGGAGGGGTGGCGTCGCTGCGCAGTGACCCCCAGGCAGGCGCACACACACACACACACAGAGAGAGAGAGAGAGAGAGAACATTGTTCACACTTAAATGTGGCTAAAACACACAGTTTTCAGACAAACCTGGCCTATGCACTAACACACCTGAAAAGTTTCCCTGTAATTACTCAAAGACACCACTAGTCTGTCGGGCTTTTAAAAAAAACTGTATTCATTTTGTTTATGTTTAAAGCTCCATTTAACTCATGTTGAACTTCTCTTCTTGTTCTTACACGGCTGGTCTGATTCTCTGTATCTGGGACATCAGATCTGATAACAAACCTGTGGTTTGTGTCCCCGTGTGGGTGGTGGACATTAAACTTACTGTACAGTTACATAAATGCTCCTATAAAGACACGTCTCTCAGTGCTTTGGTGGCCCAAGGAGAAGAAACGCTAAAATCAGCAGCAGAAAATCACTGTGACCAATCACACTGCATCATTCCCTCACCGACATCGTTATCCTATTTTTAACAATAATTATATTAAGAGGCTGTCAATACGACTGCAGTCATAGAGGTTTGGCCTTTGATCCGTTTGTGTTGAGAAATTAAATATGTGTCATGGCTGATGACACCATGATTTTTATTTGTTGTGAAATCTTCCAGTTTGTTAGTTAGTTAACAAAAGTGTTAGTTAAAAAAACAGAGTTCTTGAGTTACTATGATGGACGTTTGAATGAGCGTGTGATGTTTTTCTCAGGGTAAGGCCTACGGTCAGATGCTGCTGGACTTGAAGCTTCGAGGACTCCCTGACCTCAAGTCCCTGGTGGACTGAGACGCAGAGATGCAGTGGGATGACCTGGGAGGTTGACGCTGTGGAGACACAAAGACAAAGGTCTGAGAACTTTAAAAAATAAAGTACTTTTACCTTTATGTCTTACTGGTCTGTACCAACCAGAATGGAAAAAAAAGATCCCGTAAATAATGTCTGGAGTCTGGTGCTGGCTGGGTTTGATGGTTTTCACCAGAGCAACTGTGGTGAGCCACATCCTGGTTTAACACTCACTCAACCTGGTCTGGAGGAGGAGGAGGAGGAGAAAACTACAGGAAACTATTACTTATATAATCAGCATCTAAGTTGACAAATCTACATCTATATCAATATTTATATTCTAGGCTTTGGGTACAAATGAACATGGTGATGCTGTGCTTCAGCTGGATTAGCAGATACTTATTACTACTAATTTTATAAATCTGCACTGTTTTTTTGCCTCTAATTTTATAAATCTGCACTGTTTTTTACAATTAGAAAAGTTTAAAACTTGGGGTCTGAGTGTAGAAAAATAATCACTAAGAACCATGTCATGTGATTAAAAAACATTCCAAAACCTTCCCCACGAGGTTTGAGGTGAAGGTGGTTTTGTTTCTACAACATCATTAACTGCTGCTTTAATGGCTTCCATCCCTGGAGAGTCACATGATCTCCATCTGGGTCTGGGTCTGGCCTCTTCACCAGCTCCAGGGGAAACCACTTCTGACCTCTAGTCCAGGTTTCCCTCGTAGGGTAAACAAAGTTTCCAGGACAGGATCCACATTCCCATTTCGGGTTCCTTAACCTCAACGCAATGGCTCTGTGATGTTTGGATGCTCCTACGGAATGTTCAGATCCTTCCACAGAAACCACCTCCACCCGGTGGCCTCAGGTCGGTTCTCCTGTAATTACAAACAGACTGGAGTTGGGCAGAATCAAGCGCGATGTTCTTGTCGTCCTGTCCTCCACCAAACCTTCTTACCAAACCAAACCAACAACAACAACAACAACAACAACAACAACAAAATCCCACTTGGTTGAGTCTTTTCTAAAAGATTCTTCCCAGGACCTGGTTCAGATGCTGTTTCTCTGACCTTCCAAAGTCCTAAACAGGAACCACATCAGGACCAGTAAACAAACACAAAGTTCTTCTGAAGCCATGTTCAAAGACTCCGCAGCTCAATAAAAAGCAGACAGTGACAACAAAACCAGATTAAAACCAGGTCCGAGCCAGTCAATCAGGCTAGTACAGCAAGAATCACACAGGAAATAAAAGGGAAACAAATCCCTCAGGGATGTTTGGGGGTTGGAACGCTGAAGCAATCACAGTTGAATCACGAGGTGATGAAAATACCGAAAAGAAAAAAAAATGCTTATTTCCCATTCTAGTGAACAAAAAAACTAATTGGGATAAGATGTAAGCGACAGCAGCACATCACATGGAAATACACAAATGAGAGGATTCAGCCCATTTTTTTTTAATTCCTCACTTTGAGTCTCTGACTCATGTCCTCATGAAATAATCGTTAAAACATGTCCATTCCCAACACATGTCATCAATTTTCTCTGCTGTTGATGATTGTTTTAAAATATTTGACTTGTGTACTTACTATTACAGAAGGTTCCAAAAACTGTGCCCTGTGGAACACCACACAGATCAAAGTTAAGAAAAAAAAATCAGGCTTTTGTTTCCTCTTATTTGTCTCTGTCCTAAATCAACCACTGAAAACCCAAACAGGTTTGACATAAACCTGTTTGGGTTTTCTGTTATGTTATGCCTGATGTCAAACATCTTAGTTCGTTAAATATTTAAAATCAGCTGTAAATAAGCTCAACATATGGAGCCATGGGAACTCCAGATTTCTTCCTTTATGCCTTACATTACTGAAAATGGTGATGAGTGGTGTTTAATAATTGTGGCACACACACACACACACACACACAAAATCAGGTCAATTTGGGTTAAGAAAAGTAACAAACAAATTCTAATGAAACCTTCATTACCGTTTCTCCTCAGGCTGTAAAATGTTTCCAGAAGAATTCAACCCTGCCCTTCACCCAGTGGCCTTACTGTGGAACTACATGTGCTTTGTAAATTCATTGTTAATCCCATCGTTTCTCTGGTTCTTTCATTTTCTTTTTTTTTACTGACCTGTGGCCAGTTTTTAAAGAAGCCTGAGATCTGGGATGCTGACAGATGTTGACGAAAAAATAATAATCATTAGAAGGAGAGAAAAAGAAAACCCAAACAACCAGAGGCACTAAAATGCTAACAAGGTAAATTTGACTGTAATCTAGATACAGGAGTGAAGACATTAAAGATTTTTGATCAAAGTATCTGTGTGTGTGTGTTTGTGTGTGAGATCCCGCCTCCTCTTTCTCATTAACCGTAAAACGTCCCTTTCACAGGAAACACAGCAACAAAAGGCGTCAATGGAGCGAAACATTTGTTTCACTGAAGACAGCAAAATTGTCACCCAAAGGTCAGGAGAGTGCTTTAAATCCTTGAAGGTGCTTGACTACTGATACTGTGTCCCCAAGGCCTGGAAAGATCATTTTTAGTTATTTTGGCTAAAATGTGTAGCCAATTTTTGCCAAACTATTTTGCAGTTTGTTTTTCAATTCTATTCTTCATACAATAATTACAGTGAATAGGAAAACAGGATTCAGAAAATGATGACAAACTCGTAAGTGGGTAAGAAATTGTGTCACAAACCCAAGCACAGTCCTCACAGTGGGACACACGGGTGTGAAGACAAGGATGTAGAGAGATGTGGCGAGAATTGTAGCAAAAGTAGCAACAGACTTGTTTTCCCACCAACATCTAGATCATTAACATTCATCACTCACAGGTCATGGTAACCACCGCCGCTCTGAGTGTGTGTTTACCGTCTGTCAGAATCTTGTTGTCTTTTGTGTCTCTCGGAGTCTGTCTTCGTCTGTGCCTGCCAGTAAAGATAAAAGAAGATAAATGACGTCTCAGATCTCATTTCTCATCTTTTGGCGTCTGCTGCTTCGTCCCAACTATGTGACACCAACAAAAGCCGTTGTCTTCTCCCCTCATCTCGTCCTTTAACATGACAGCTGGGCACCATTGGCCGTGACAGGATGATGGATCACACCCAAACTCTCACAGATCGGTCCCTCTGTGTCCACTTTACATGCCTAAAGCTATTTTTTAAGGATTTGTGTTGCTTTTTTGGCTAAAGTAGCGACATTTCTCATTCCAAAGTCCAAGAAGAGAAAACCATTAACTTTACCTCACATGGAGCTTGGTGTTTGGATGAATAGCTGCCCCCATTACTGTGTCTTAAGGTTTTAGTTCAGTAGCTCGGTGTATAGAATGTTATGTTCAGATAGAAACGGGAAAAGATTTGGTTCAATTGTAGCTGCAGCAAATGAGCAGCAGCTACAATGGTTGGTCTTCTCTTTGGACCTCAGGGTGATGATACAAATGTGTTATCAGTTCATGATGCAGTTATTAACAGTATATATCTCTCTCTCTCTCACACACACACACACACCAAATAGAAGTCAGTTGTAGTGAGAAAAACTTTTTTGGGGGGTGCGAATACGAAGGGGTGGGATTGGGGGTGTGGCACTCAGGGCCCAGGGTAGCAGATAGGCTAGGAGCGGCACTGGTGTGGAGCTCAGTCAGAGGCTGCAGTCATGTTGGACACACTCACCTTCCTGCTGGAGAAGCTCGTCCTCTTGGCGCACATCAAACTCTCCATCCTGCTGCCTCCTCCAGCTCCGCCGCTCAGCAGGCGCTCAGAGAGAGAGGAACCGGCCGCCCCTCCGCACAGGTTCCAGCGGGGAGACCTTCTGGAGGTGCCCCGGACCCTTTTTACCCACTTCGGCATCTACCTCGGGGATGACCGGGTGGCGCACCTGATACCCGACATCCTGCCGGTGCTGACGGCGGACCGGCGGCTGATCCAGGAGATGGTCACCAACACCCGTCTCCTCCTCGGGGTGCTCTCTAAGCGGGCCAGCATCCGGGTGGACTCCGTGGAGGACTTCGCCTACGGAGCCGGGATCCTGTTGATACACATGGACCCGTCGGCGCAGGGCATGGCGCTCGCGGC